TGTACTACAGACAATGACACAGATGTTGTTTAATGTGTACTACAGACAATGACACAGATGTTGTTTAATGTGTACTACAGACAATGACACAGATGTTGTTTAATGTGTACTACAGACAATGACACAGATGTTGTTTAATGTGTACTACAGACAATGACACAGATGTTGTTTAATGTGTACTACAGACAATGACACAGATGTTGTTTAATGTGTACTACAGACAATGACACAGATGTTGTTTAATGTGTACTACAGACAATGACACAGATGTTGTTTAATGTGTACTACAGACAATGACACAGATGTTGTTTAATGTGTACTACAGACAATGACACAGATGTTGTTTAATGTGTACTACAGACAATGACACAGATGTTGTTTAATGTGTACTACAGACACTAACTCTGGTGTTCTACTCAGAATCATACGACCTCAAAAGAGCGGTTGATACGTCACGTGTGGTTTACACCTAGGCTGTAAGATCTTCACTTTTCAGGCAGTGCATTCGATTTCTGCAAAACCGTAATTAGTCGCCTTTTACGACATGCTTGTAAAGGGACAGTAGGCATATTCTATATTCTTATTTGGGGGGGGGGGGGGGGGGCAAAATGAGGCCCATGAACTGACATGGACGAGGATTTTTTTTATGTAAAAGTAGAGGACCCACGTCTAGGTCTTCGGGTATAGAGGGCTAGACCTTTATTTTATAGACCAGGTGGCAATTAGCGGGGAGATCTAGTCAACAAGAGTCCGGCTGCCTTTACTCCCAGGACTTTACCTGGTACCCATTTTAGGCTGGTTTTTTTTTTAATGTAAAGATTTTAGGTTCTTAATTTATAACGTACCCCAAACACGAAATCCCCGTGGGAAATCCACAGCTGACCTGACAGTCCATTATTTAAAGGGGTGCAAGTGTGCTGTTGTGTTTTTTTGTTTTGTTTTTTTGAGTGTTCATCTAGTGTCTTCTAATCCTAACCCTAACCCTAAACTTGGCTGTAGATAAATCGCGAGAAACTACAACCTGAACACCCTAGAATTTATTGGGAATGTCTCCCGTGACGTCAGGGGTAAGTTATAAATTAAGTACCAGATTTTATGATGTATTCTTTCCACATCAACAACATTTACATAAGGTTGCCCCCCCCCTTTCCCCCCTGTATAAATGTTCCCTTTCAAATCTTTGTTTCTGGGAAGGATAACATGGGCAACGAATACCAGCAAGAGTCGGACATGTCAGATCAGCAACCGGGTCGCTCATTGACTGGCCGATAAACGTCTTCGTCACCAGTCTGGACAGTATTTGTCTCCTCTGATCGCATCAATGCTGCAGGAGTCCTTTTCAGAGCTACTTGGTGGCGAGCAACGCTAAGCCATTTTATTTAGCGCACATAAACCTAGTCACAATTATAACCCAAAGCTCCCCCTTTGGGGATGCTGTCTGAACGACAACGCAAATCTAGCTAAGCCAAAAGGATGTGTGGGTCCAAAGGTGTAAATATCATAGCCATGTTGTAAAGGAGCACAGAAGATTTGTGGCTGAGAATAAACACAGAAGAAGAAATCTTTGTTCATATACAAACATTCCTTTACATGCAAGTGGCACATAGGGCATAGGCTAGATTCTTGTTTTTACAGACCAACGGTGGGGGATGTGGTCGACAAAACGCTGGCCGCCTTTACTTCACAGGACTTTACCCGGTAGCCATTTAAGGCTGGGTCGACCTGGGAGCCAAGGTCATGTATGACAAACAATCTGGCTCCATGAAGATTTGAACTCACAACCTTAGGAGTCGCAGGCGAGTGTCTAACCGCTACATCATGGTGTTAATACATTTCAAACATATTATATTTATCTGTCATTCATCATCATCATGTACAAGGCTTAAGTTCACTGATCTCCACCCCCCCCCCCCCCCCACCCCCCGTTGCAAAACAAACCGTCATCCAGGGAGTATGACTGTAAAGTGGTTAACATAGGCGCCAGAATCTGAGGACTCTGGTCCCATAAAAATAATACTACACCTGACATGATTAAAAATGTATACAGAAATACTTTAAAAGATCATTTCTATACATTGTTAAATGGGGCCCTTAGAGCGCTCGTTTTTTTTATGAAAGGGGGAAAACAACTGGGTGGGGAGGGGGGATTCAAGGATCTGTTGAGGCCCTGTTGAGTTATCTGTCTAGGAAATGTGTGAGGTGGTGAGGAGGAAGCAGTTGTGATGAGCGGGAGAAGATGTTTTCTTTGTGGCAGCAAGCTTGGTGATTGAGCTGTTGCCTAGCACTCTAAAGGTAATGGGTTCATTTTCATGACGATTAATGAGAGTATTTTTTATATGAATTCCCTGGCATAGTCTCTTATACATGTGGTGTTAGTGCTTTGAGTGGCGCTGTCTGTAGTAGCTCCTGTGTGTGCGTTTGTGTGTATGTGCATGTGCGAAGCAAATACCTCTCACTGTAGAAGTTTAGTTTAGAACACATCCACACAAAATGTTCTTCTAGTCTCTCCCCCCCCCCCCCCCCCCCCCCCCCCCCCCCCCCCCCCACCTTTCCCTCCATGTAGTGTTGCAGTATACAACTGAGGTGCGATATCTGCATGATTCAGCCCAACATGTGTGACTCTAGCAAACTTCTTCTAGCTAAGTGGCCTTTTACAACATGTGTGTTAGGGCAGGAAGTGGGGTTATCCCCCTCCCCCCCCCATTTCAAAATGGTGCTTTGGAAGCCAAACAGAGAAGCAGTGACTTATTACCATTGAGACTCTGTAGGTTACAGGTCAGGAAGCAATAACTGTCTGGGTGTGAATGAGTGAAAGTAACAAGCCAGATACTAATCTCTAAAAATTTGAACATAATCATCCCTCATTTCAACTCACACAGAGACAAACATATTATTTTACTGACATAATTCTTAAACAAAAATTTTGTTAGAATCATAACAAATTTAATTAAATTTACAGCAATGTTACAAAATATATTTTAGATGTGATTTCCTCAAGCTAATTTTCTGAAAATAGAATGTGTTTTTGTGACGCAACAGTTTCTTGTTTAAAACATGTCTGTGTGAGGCAACAGTTGCTTTTAACATGTTTTTGTAAGGCAACAGTCTCCTATTTATAACATGTTTGTATGAAGCAACAGTTGTTTATAACATTTTTTTGTGAGGCAACAGTTTCCTGTTTATAACATGTTTGTGTGAGGTAACAGTTGTTTATAACATGTTTTTGTGAGGCAACAGTCTCCTATTTATAACATGTTTGTATGAGGCAACAGTTTCCTGTATTTAACATGTTTTTCTGAGGCAGCAGTTTCCTGTTTATAACATGTTTGTGTGAGGTAACAGTTGTTTATAACATGTTTTTGTGAGGCAACAGTCTCCTATTTATAACATGTTTGTATGAGGCAACAGTTTCCTGTATTTAACATGTTTTTCTGAGGCAGCAGTTTTCCTGTTTATAACATGTTTGTGTGAGGCAACAGTTTCCTGTATTTAACATGTTTTTCTGAGGCAACAGTTTCCTGTATTTAACATGTTTTTCTGAGGCAGCAGTTTCCTGTTTATAACATGTTTGTATGAGGCAACAGTTTCCTGTATTTAACATGTTTTTCTGAGGCAACAGTTTTCTGTTTATAACATGTTTGTGTGATGGCAACAGTTTATTTAACCTGGACAGTTTTTATAAAGGCACAGTTTGTCTGTTTTAACCATGTTTGTGAGGCAATTTTTCCTGCTTATCAAATGTTTTATCGTTTTATTTTTTGTTTATGTTTGTATGAGGTGACAGTTTTTTATAACATGTTTTTATCAGGCAACAGTTGTTTATAACATGTTTATATGAGACAACAGCTGTTTATAACATGTTTGTGTGAGGCAACAGTTTCCTGTATACAACATGTTTGTGTGAGGCAACATTTTTATGTTTATAACACATTTGTGTGAGGCAAAAGTTTGCACGTTATATTTTTTGTTTATGTTTGTACAAGGTGACAGTTGTTTATAACATGTTTATATGAGGCAACAGTTGTTTATAACATGTTTATGTGAGACAACAGCTGTTTATAACATGTTAGTGTGAGGCAACAGTTTTATGTTTTTAACATGTTTGTGCGAGGCAACAGTTTTCTGTTTATAACATGTTTGTGTGAGGCAACAGTTTTCCATTTATAACATGTTTGTGTGAGGTAACAGTTGTTTATAACATGTTTGTACTAGGTGACTGCTGTTTATAACATGTTTGTGTGAGGCAACAGTTTTCCATTTATAACATGTTTGTGTGAGGCAACAGTTTTCCATTTATAACATGTTTGTTTGAGGCAACAGTTTCCTGTTTATAACATGTATGTGTGAGGCAACAGTTTTATGTTCATAACATGTCTGTGTGAGGCAACAGTTGTTTATAACATGTTTGTGTGAGGCAACAGTTTTCCATTTATAACATGTTTGTGTGAGGCAACAGTTGTTTATAACATGTTTGTGTGAGGCAACAGTTTTATGTTCATAACATGTCTGTGTGAGGTAACAGTTGTTTATAACATGTTTGTGTGAGGCAACAGTTTCCTGTGACAAGTCTGGGTTAAGCCAGACTCAGATATAAATACTGGAAAACGCCTGGAGTATAACAGAAACAGTATACAAAATAAACTGATATGGATCTCAATTATAACTCTGATTTGTAAATATTGACCTTGACTGCGATGCTGATTTTATCTTCAATATCGTATGTTCGTGTGGGGCACTTTTGACTGCTGTCTTATGCATTGAGTGCTATTGGATTTTCTGAAACTGCAGTCTGTGTCAAATGTGCCACAAGAAACACCACTGGGCAATCATTCTGTGTGGTTTTCTTTGGCACAGGATTAGAGCAACTATGGGGTGAATGAATAATTTGTTATGAAGTTCGAAATATGATTGCCCCGATTAACTGTGGGGTTAAGTTTCTTGCAGATAACAATGTTTGCCTGGGGGCCCTCCATTTCAAAGCAGAGACGCATCACCTGAGGTCAGAGTTCACCTTTCAACAGCGGGATGTGGGTGGAGACTAGTTGATAGATGTCAATATTGAGGTAGAAGCGCAGCAGCTTGTGAGCCACACCCCAGATGGACAGAGCAAACAGGACAATGAGGCAGTTGATGCTGATGTAAAAACCTGAAATTCTGGGACAAATTGACAAAGGTACAGGTCAATGTCAGAGGTCAATGTCATAGGTCAGTGTCAAAAATCAATGTTAGAGGTTAGTGTCGAGGTCTCCTTCTTCACGTTCACAGCCTGTAAACTCTGGCAGAAAGTTCTGGTTGTTCGTCTACCTCTGGACTTTAGTTCTGTTCCAGAACCTGGGTGTTGCGTGCACATCCATTTGATAGATCTGACATGTGCATCTCTCTTTCGGTACCGTCTCCATTATGGCAGTTGGCTACAGTGTATCCCTGTTCTCTTTAGGAATATTAGGTGGTGAGGCCCCAATCTCTTCCACGGTGCGACTCTTGCAGCATTGTCCAAAAACCATGAGAACTGAATTTTACCCGTCCACCACAGGGAACAAACCCCAGTGCTCGAGGATCATGAAATTGTTAACTGCATTCACTAGCCTCTAAGTCACGAAGCCGCACATGTATATGCAGACTGTGGTTCCTTGTGTCTCAGGCAGATGCACTCCAACTTCAAAACAGGCGTCAAAATTCGTCGACTCTTACAACATGCTTGTTGGGGAGGCCGAAGAATTATTCTATTCTTGTTTTCTCCCCCAACGGGGCCTCGGAACCCATTTGGGAAGGGTCAAGGTCAATGTCAAAGATTAGAAACAAAAATGATTGAAAGCTTTCTTAAAAAAGGAACTGAATAAACACAAAGAATTCTCATCTTATCTACCCAAAGCATTCTGTCTCATTTGTAGCTGAAGACCCTTTTTATGCCACTGACCTATATTTTTTATCGACCACCTGGCACTTGAAGTGGTCAGTATTACACTGGCCAAGGCAGTTCTAGGTGTGTATTTTAGGCTGGGTCTGCCTAGCAGCTCCAAATCCATCCCAGAAATCTGCAAGGCAAGATCCAAGACCTTTGAGCAGGCAGGCAAGGGTCCCATCATCAATCTGCAGGTCCTTTACAGAATGTGGCTCTTGTCCCAGAATGACTAAAAGTCTGTCTCTTTCTCTAGCCAATTCTCCAGCCCTGTATGCTTTCAAAGCTACTGCATCTTCATTGTCTTATATCCACCTTTGCGGAAGTCTGTCTGTGCCTTGTTTTCTCCATCTCTTTAGGTTACCATGTTTAACATGGACACAATTCTCCCTCCCAGAATAAATTAAGGTTTCTCCAATTTCACACCTGAAATGGCCTTGTCTTCCCAGCTGTGTTCAGAAATTCAAAGAACGTTGCTGTTGTACCGCCTCATTTTTGCTGCTGACCTTGCTTAATTTGTCTCGGTATGGACTCCTTTTATTTAAAGTTCCTATCTTTGCTTTATATTTAGTCCAAAGATACAGCCGTCTATTGCAGCGCATTCAGTAGCATTTCCATTGTCATCTCTTCTGCATGTACTCTACTCTCTGCGGTTGTTCTCTTCCCCAATTTGCCCGGAAGATAAGGGCCTAGCTCTAAAAATAATTTCTTGTAAAATGTGCCAGAGCAATTGGTTCTCTTTGATTAGCCTCCAGACATTGGCTTGGTCACATCTAAGGTACTTTAACGGTTACCCACAGCGAGTCGGTTCCTCAACTCAAATGGTATACATTCTACTGCTGCTACGTAAAAGCAAAGGACCCCTTCTGTCCAAAAATCTCCACAGCGAACACTTGAGTTGAGTTGAGTCAAGAATTTACATCACAGCACTCGGGGCATTCCCATGCGAGCTCTGTCCTCATCTTCAGCAGCCAGTGCAGAGTTCCAATACTGATCGTACCGGTCACAATCTGGTTATATGTCCGTCTTGCCTTCCCTTGAGTGTAGTGAGCTGGCCAGACCCTCTGGTTACACCCGTGTGCCTCATTCTCTCCAGGCCATAACAATCTTCTTTCTATACTGATTCCGTTGCTTGTTCCCAAAGGGCCTTGATCACATCTGCCTTGTCATGTATCAATTCACCACCCAGTGGTGCAGATTCAGCCAATCTATCTGCCTGTTCAATACCCACTAGGTCGGCATGACCTGGAGAAGAGATCCAAAATAAGCTCACCACACGTGACCTTTCCAGTGAAGCTTGCCACTCTGCTTGAAGCATCCCTGTCTTCACCTCTCTCAGCATGCTTTCAGATTTTGTTACAATTGCGAGGTGTATGCATCTTGTTCTCCAGCCACCAGAGAGCTGCAGTTACCGCCTCCACCTGTTTTCTCATGCTAGATGTTGTGGTGTTGTATGCTAGGCTGTCTTGCACTAAAGATTTTCCACTGGCTTTTCCTACAAACTCCCAGGCACTTCTCTTTCCTCTCAATATCGAACCATCTGTATAGATAATTAGATCACCTGGACGTAAATTGTCGTAAATCAACTTTTGTACTACCACACATCAAACAGTCCATGCCAAAAGGCACTGGGCATCATGTTTGGCCAGATATACTGTCTCATGTAAGGTGAAAAGCTAAAGGAAACTTTTTCAATTCACTGGCTTATATTTTGATAGGCCAATCAGCCTTGACACACATCAAGACTACCACCAGAAAGACAACACAGTGAGACCTGTCACTTAAACATAATGGAGGCACCTAGAGGTCGACCATGCAAGCTGTGGAAAGACGGAATATCTGAGGACGTAAACACCAGCATCTTTGTAGCATATACCAAGGCCTGTATCTGATGTCTCTTCAAAACCTGATGGTGAAAGGCAGACATGGACTAGAGAAGAAAAAAAAAAAAGAAGAAATAAAGGAAAATTAGCTGCCTTTGCTTTCCAAGACATTTCCTGGTACAAGTTTTAGGCTGATCTGGGCGCCAAGTTCAATTATAAGTAATATTTCCTGCCCCCAGTGCAGATTTAAACTCAAGACCTGTGGGTCGCCAGCAGATGTTTAGCCACTGCGCTACATTAATTAATACCCATTTCCCTCTGCTTACTTCTAATTCATATGCTGATGAAGGTTTTAAAGCTGAAATATCCACTCTGCCCTAAATGAGTGCATTTCGGTACAGCTAGCTAACAACCTCTTGCAGATGATAATTTGTGTACAGAAAAATCTCACCTTTTATCTGCCTCCTTTATATACCCCCAGAAGTACTTCTCTCTTCCAAACAGATAGCCCAAATATGCGAATGATGCAGGAACTGGAACATAACATTAAAAACAAATGTAGCAGGAAAAACCAACACTAAAATTACTTCATAATAAAGCAAAAAAACAAGTAAGAAATATTTTAATTACAGCGTCTGCCCCAATACTGAGCATTGCTGCAGACTAAACAGACATCTATTGAAATTTATAGAAGCAGTAGTCATTATGAAAGGTAAAAATTCCCTTCTCCAAATGGAAAGATAAGGCCAGACACATAAATGAACTGAAATGGGTTGTACCTGCAGCAATGAACCACAAGGGCTAGGGAGCGGTCATGATGGCTGTGGAGGAGGAGGAAAAGAAGCAGTAGAAGGAGAAATAGTAATAGTAGGAATTAGCATGGGAAACCCTGTGTTATGTAAGCAAAAGGGTCATCTAAAGTGTGAAAAAAAAAAAAAGAGACAATATGATTTGTACCCCATTATATGTTGATATAACATTTGTAGTAATGCCCTTGACAAGATACAATGAAATATGCCAGGCCATAAATGGTGATATATATTACTGTGTCAGTGGGAGTCGCCGTGGTGTAGCGGCTAGATGCTCGCCTGCTGATGTGAAGGTTGTGGGTTTGAGTTCTGATGGAGCTGGACAGTTTTCAAAAATGACCTTGGCTCCCAGGTCGACCTATACTGGAGTGAGTACCAGGTGCAGTCCTGGGAAATAAAGGCGACCGGCGTGATGCTGACCATATCACCCACCAAGTGCTGATGGGGTTACAAAATATAGGCCAAGCCCTATACGCCCAATACATCTAAAGGCGTGGAAAAGGGTCCTTTACTTTACTGTTGTGTCATTTATTTGACATCCTTATTTTGGTAATAATAGGTCATCTTCTTCTTCGCGGTCACCAGCTGTAAACTCTGGCAGAAAGTTTTGGTTGTTCATCCACTACTGGACTGCAGTCCTGTTCCAAAACCTGAGTGTTGCGTGTACATCCGTTTTACAGATCTGACTCATTTGTATGCAGACAGCTGGTTCGTTGCTTCTCAGGCAGATGCACTCCGACTTCGAACGAAGCTCCTAATTAGTTGACGCTTATGACATGCTTTTGGGTAGGCACTGGGTTTATTCTTGTTTTCCTTATAATAGGGCCCCAGAACCTACACGGGGATTAATAGGTTATGACCTCCTTGCTTTTCTCTCCAACCTCTTCTACACTGGAGTACAGAGACCCTTCTAGATTTCCTTCTATGCACAGATACAAGCAGGGCTATGTCATCCAATTTTTGCCCTGTTTCTGTAATATTTTAAAACTATTACCTGGATGAAAAAAGATGGAACCGATCCATAAACATGCCAGAGAGACTGTGTAATACTCAATTGTGTTCTGGCTGAAATACACAAATGAAAAGATCACACACAAATATTTCAATGTACTAATCTTCATCCTCATTAAAACTGTCAGTAAGTAACATAAAAAGCTCCTTTAAATGACATGGGGATAGCAGGTATATGATGCTAGGCATCTTCTTATAGTGGTCTCCATTCTTTTTCAGGTGCCCCCCCCCCCTTTCCACTTGAGTATACAGCAAGACCCCAACACCCCCATGAGTATATTGCATGACAACCCATATCCCCCTTGAGTACATGGCATAACCTCTATCTCCCTTGAGTATATGATACAATCCTCCACATTCTCCCCTCAGTATATGGCATGATTCCCCAGCCTTGAGTATATGGTGTGACCCCTTCGTTCCTCTTGATTATATGACATGACCCACATTGCCCCTTAAATATATAGCAAGACCCCCACAGCATAACAAAATTGGGTCAAAAAAGAGGACAAACGTATTGTTAATCTATAATTAAATGCAGGTGTTACTATATATTTTTAAACAGTAGACGTACAAACTACTCTTGAAAACAAAAACATTCTGGCCTTTTTTGTTTTATAAATAGTTTTTAAAAAAATTATTTATTTATAATTAAATCTGAACTCATTGAGTCCCAAGGAAAGTATCATACGTTCATAGATTCCTACCCAGAAGCCCAATGAATGCAAAATGTGCCACTTTTATGTCTCTCTTGACTACCCCTTGGGCTTGTGATGCTAAACCCTCTGGGACTCAAAGAGTTAATGAATGTTGGTATAATGGTTTATTACAAGAACAAATGAACTCATTTTCAAAAATTCCTTGGAGCTTCCTCATGGAGGAACAGCCAGTGAATGCTAGGAAGAAAAATAAGAGCACCATTTACTAATCATATATACATACACGTACTTATATACATACACGTACTTATATACATACATGTACTTATATACATACATGTACTTATATACATACATGTACTTATATACATACATGTACTTATATACATACCGTACTTATATACATACAGTACTTATATACATACACGTACTTATATACATACATGTACTTATTTTATATACATACACGTACTTATATACATACACGTACTTATATACATACACGTACTTATATACATACACGTACTTATATACATACACGTACTTATATACATGCACATACTTATATACATACACGAACTTATATACATACACTTACTAACAGAAACAGATCAACAACTTTGGGATTTAAAAACCCTATCACAAGTACTATTACTCATTGTTTCTACTCAGCCTTTCACTGAATAACTGCTACAAAGCCAAAGTGTGCTCACTGGGCTCTGTAAGTGCGGACAAACTCAGCTGGTCCGTTAGTCTCTGGAACCTTGACTTGAAACTTCTGTCTCGATCTCACAACTGCTGTGGTGAACCTGACCCCTGGGTCACAGATATAAATAACTGGAGGTTACAGTGACCTAACACAGCCTCAGTAACTCATGTTAACAAATGAGGTGAATCAACACAAGAAATAACAGAAGCAGAGAATAAAGGATTTGTTATATTGGTTTAAGGGAAAAAAAAAGAGTTGTATATTCTTTAGTGTGTTCCAGAACCAACTCCAGCATTTTTTGGCTTGTGATTTCACTGCCCTCTGAACAGTCGGTTGTTGAAACCAATGCAAGGTGGTATGCCGCCATATTACCTGCAGTTGGGATCGAACCCGGCACTACATAATTTTTTTAAGCACATTGGCTTCTTCTCTCTCAGGCTGATTTACTCTGACTTCAAAGGATAGCCCCCCAATAAGTCGACTCTTACAGCATGCTTGTCTGTGGGAGGCAGTGGGTCTGTTCTTGTTTTCCCCACAATGAGGCCCTAGAATGGTACCCACAATGTGACATATAAGTGTACATTTTTTAATGACCAATTTCCATACTTAATATGTATTGGAGTGGGGCATATGTACTAGCTTCTGATAATGATAACAGCTGGGACTCAGTGGGAGATAGTCTGTATCATGCCAACCATCTTTACTTCCCCTGACATTTTCATTTTAACTATCTGAAGAAAAAAAAATCATTCTGGATTCTATGACTATGACTATTGTATTTGCAGCAGCCAAATGTGCTTCAGTAATTTTACAATAATAAATTATCATTCTTCGTCTTCACTGGCCTGTAAACGTTTATATAAAGTTCCGGTTATTTTTCCACTTCTGGACTTATGTTAGTTCCAGAATACGAATGTGGCGTGCACATCTCTCTCCGACTTGAAGAAAACAGCACCTCTAGTAGTTAGTACTAGCCTAGTTTGTCACTTACTACAGTCCCCATGCTTGCTATGAAACAATGGTTTTTTTTTTCCTCTCACAACAGTGCCCCGGTATCCACACGCAGAATAATGAAATTAATATATTAAATTATAAGAACTTTAGTTTACTGAATCAGAAATACCCGGCTCTCTAGCGTAGTTGGCTAAACCGGTTTGCGCGGAAACCGGGTGACGAACTCCTTGTGGTCCGGGTTCAATCCCGGTGTTAGGCAGGAAAGCCCCATTTTCCCCCAGATTAACGGTATTTACAATGGAATCAAGGCCGAAAGGTTGCGATATCCATAATACCGAGCCTAAGGGTTAACAACTCATGGCTTCTGGATACTAAAACAAACAAACTACAAACTACAATTCACTACAAACTGAATCAGAACTTTGACTTAATTTACCAAGCTGATAAACACCGAGCAACGTCACTACCGCAGGCAGGGCGTATTGGTCGATCACACTTCCACCCATTTGTAACACGGGATAAAAAATAATATGTGACAGCTATCCTTTAAGAGAGTAACTGTCTTCAAGATCTACAGTCTGTATGTGTCCCTTCCCGTGCCTGCAACAGAACCAAACAAGTCACAAAAGTTTACGAAGTTTACTCTAACAACCAAGTAGGCTTGTTTTCATGTCAGCTCTAGGCAGTTGTTCGCAGTATGAAATAGTGATCTTCGTCCCTTCGTTATTTCATTGTTTTATTTATTGTAGGAGTTTCCTCTTTATCTTCATTTTTCCTACCGCTTTGCAAAATTACAAAATGAACCATGCGGATAATTCTGAGAGGTGCACGTGATACCTCGTAGTATGTATGCGATATATACTTGGAGTGACAACTATTGCAGATAGGCTCAAGTTCTGCAAGCAAAATCATATTTCAGAGTAGCTGTGGACAAGAAGTGCCTCTTGCATGAAGCCTTAGGTAGAACTAAGGGTCACATACTGAAAAGAGGAAGGTCTTGGATGGCGCAAGTTAATTAGACATGTAAGCAGGCTTGCTAAATTTGTGCCAGGAGAAGAGTGGGTCAAAATGCCCGAACAAGAGTTAGACTTGTGTAGGAATATAATAACTATAGGCAGTGAGTGAAGAGACTGGCCAGCTGGTACTGCAGAATCAATTCAGCAAATGATTCATGACAAACTAAGCTCAGGTGATGTGATTATCTATACAGGTGGCTCTGTGCTGATAAGTAGGCGTAGTGCATGGGGGTTTATAGCAAAAGCGAATGGACGTCAGTTCAACAAAGCCTGGTATTTGATATCCCGTCTAATTTGAGAATAGAGGTGGAGACAGTCACTGCTCCTTCCACTGGCTTAAGAATCCGCTGTGCACACATGCCGTGACTGTAACTATCATGATCAAGTACGACTTACAGAGCATATTGAGAAAAGTGGAGACAGGTATGCTCCATGCAGAGTTGCAATCGTTGTTTCACAGGTCAGGTGTACTTAGCGTCCTTTTGATATTTTTCTCCAGGTGATGCTGGTGGGTTGGGAAATGAGCAGGCAGATAGATTGGTCGGTTCTGTACCACTTGGTGGTGAACTGATGTATGACAGGCTAGATATTGTAAGGACCCGTAAGGAACGAGTGAAAATGTGAAGGCACAAAAAAATCATAACGGTCTGAGGAGAATGGCGCTGCGAGGAGTTACCAGGGGATCGGGTCGACGCTCAACACTCAAGAAAAAGGCGAAACAGATATACTGTAAGTTATTGGTGCCATCGAAATATGAACTCTTCACTTGTTGCTGAAGATGGAGACAGAGGGCTTATGGGGGTGCCCCAAGTGCTGTGATGTAGATTCTTAATTCATCATTCATATGCAAAGAGGTGTTAGATATAGTTTCTTGTCCTGTTCTAGTCGTATAACTTGTGTTTCATGTCATTCTGTGTTTATGTAGTGTCTTTTTTACTCCACCCACCAATCGCTGTATTGTAGTAGTATTAATTATCTTGCCAAATGGAAAACATCGAGAGTTAAACTTGAGAGGATTGGTTTTATTCACTGATTGATCCCATACAGCAAAATGTCTCTCTCCCTCTCTCTCTGTGTCTGTGTGTGTGTGTCTCTTTCTCTCTCAGTAGAATGGTTATATGCCTGTTTTGTCCTTCCTCTTGAGTACTGACTGTCGTCCAGATTCCCTGTTCCCTGCACGACTGTGATGACCTCCTATTCATGCCTCCACATTGGTCACCAACTCCCTCATAGCCTTCACATCTGGCTTGTCACAAATCAATTGGTCACAGAGGAATCTAAGCAATCCACTTTTACCCTGTGTAGAAATTCTCTTTAAAAGTATTTGTTTTATATTTCTTTGATAAGACCACTCGTTTTATTTGGCTTTGAAACTTGGAACACACTAAAAGAGATAAAGCCTTTATTACAAGTTGTTTTAAACAGTCTTACGACAAACCTATGGACCCATCAAAGATGCAGACAGTGGTAGATGGAAAGTGAGAAGCAACAACGAAATTCATAATCTGTTTAAATCACCATTGATGACTGGCATCATGAGAGCTAATGGACTGAAATGGTTGGGACATATTGAGAGAATATCAGATGACAGAGAAGTGAAAACTGTACACACAAGGGAGATGAATGGTCGTAGACCACGAGGCAGACCAAGAAGACGATGGAGAGATAATATCCAGACAGACCTGCAAACACATGGTGTCACTAACTGGAAAGAGATGGCCAATCAGAGAGATGAATAGAGGAGGGTGATATCTGCAGCAATGAACCTCAAGAGTTTGTAATGCTGAAGAAGAAGAAGTATTATAAGATTTATTTTGCATTCAGCACAATATTATTATTATGCTAATAAACTAGGATTATGCGACTGAGGGGACCCCATCTCCCCACACACTTTTTAGCTATAAAATATTATTGTTGGGAAAGGAGAGCAGCTGCCTGGGGGTGGGGCTCGCAGAAATCAAGTCTGCATATAAATAAGTCATATCTGTTAAATGGATGTGCATGCAAAACTCAAGTTTTGGACCAGAACTAAAATCTAGAAGTAGTTGAACAACCTGAAAAATCAGTTACTGGCTATTCTTTTACAAGGAGTCTCTCATGGTCGTCTCCTAAATGCAACGGCTGTTTCTGTTATCATGCAGCATGTTATGTTTCTTTGTGCTTTTATATCAGTTTTTATCTATCACGTAGTATTCTATGCAGTCTTTCTGTTTCAAATGAGGTGAGAAAGAGAATTCTCAAGGGCTATATAAATCCTATCCTGATATATGGAAGAGAATCATGGACACTTGGCTAATTAGTGAAAAATTATGTGGAAGAGGCAATGTGAGTTTATAGACAAATTATGAGAACATCCTGGACAAATTACAAATTAAAACAATAATGAAAAAGTCTTTTAAAAAAACAAATGACAAAACTGACTCGTGAAGAGAACACATCAGAAGGAGACAATCAACATTCTTTACTCAGGTCATAAGAAAGAGAAAACTGGAGTTCTTCGTGACGGTGGGAAAGTTGGAGGGGAGGAGAGGCAGAGGGAGACCAAAAGAGAAGATGATGGACAGTCTGACATCATGGCATGGAGGATCATCTGTGTCAGAGTAGATTGAAAGTACATGAAACAGAAAGTTGTGGAAAGACATGACTACCAACGTCACACAGCATGGACTTTCAGAAAAAGAAAAAAAAAGAATTTTTCATGTATTTGAATAGTCTACACTCACATATTGGTATCCAGTCTGTCATTCTCATCATCATTATCAAAAACCACTTCTACCGTTAAGCTTTGTGGGGAGGAACAGTTTGCGATCCAATGCACGCTGGCTGCCACTGGCTATTGTCATGCCATTAAGGCATAGAGTGTCTTTAATGTTGTCAATCCATTTTTCTGTGGCCATCCTCTTGCTTTTGTAGCTGATCTTCTGAGATGTAGTGCTTGTGATGGTATTTGATCTTCCTGCCAATGAGATGGCCAGATCACTTGATCTGCTGTTTCTCATTGAATCTAGTATAAGGTGTCGTTCCCACAATATGCCTGATAGTTTCATTATTCACTCGATCTCGGATGGTTAGGTTAGCGGCTTTTCTCAGGCATCTCATCCAGTCTGTAAAAGGCCTATTTTTTGCCACTGTTTATTGGGCATATGAAGCTAGGTACATATTTTGATGGACCAGTCGGTACTCGGAAGATAATGCGGTCAACATCATGCCGGTCACCTTTGCTTCCCGTGACATTATGTGGTGCCAATCATTTCTTCAGCACAACACATTTTTAAAAAAATTCTTGATTTAATTTCCCAGTAATGGAAATCTCACTTTCCAGACATCTACCTCATCTTGGTCTTCACCGTTGCCTTATGTTTATTTAATGCCCTGATGCTTTTTTGTTCCATTCCAGTCCTCTGTCAGTCGGGGGACTGTGGGATGTTGTCTTCCCAGCAAACCCTGGGTCGCCCTTGTGGTCTGATTTCCAATGTTTTTGGCCTCCAATGCCTGCATACCTGTTCAAACCATTGTTGTGACTGATTCCTCAAACACAAACACACCTGACAGAAAAAAATTGCTACTACTTTATTGCCAAGTAAATGCTACTATTATAAATGCACACAACATCTATAAAGTAAAAGAAACAAGTACATCTCTCTATGTATATATAATCAAATTAATACAGCCATCATAGTCAAATGTAATTTATATACATGACATATGAAGTACTTTAGATACCCAGGTATTCAAACATGACATCCAACATATCTGAGAAACCAGACATGATATTACGACATATCTGAGAGTTAAAATATGACAACTGACATATTCTAGAATCCAGATATGACATTTTACATATCTGAAAACCCAAATGCAACATGTGACGTATCCTAAAATGCAAACATGACATCTGACAGATCTCAAAATAGAGACACTGCATATGACATATCTGAGATTCTATACATAACATCTCAAATATTAGAGAAATCAAACATGACATATGACATATATGAAAACCCAGTCATGACATATGACCCAGATATGAAGTAAAGTTACTCCAGATGGAGATTCTGAAAAGGATGTAACATCAAGAATAAAAAAAGCAAATCAAGCATTTGCCATGCTTAACAATATATAGAAGTCAAAATAGATTTAGTTTGAAGACAAAACTCAGAATATACAAGAGCAACATTTTAGGAAGACTATTATACAGCAGTGAATGTTGGAAAATGACAGCCGGAATTAACATAAACTTTAGACTTTTCAAAAGAAATGTTTAAGGAGAATTCTACAAAAGTTTTGGCCTAACAAGATCACAAAAAAAGAACTGAGGAGGAAAACAGAATGTGCATCACTGGCAAATGTTATCAAAGTAAATGGAATGGAGACGGCTTGGACACGTTTGCAGAATGCCTTGTGACACTCTGGTAAAAACAGCTCTCCGGAGGACAGCAGATAGGAAAAGGAGACATGGACGACCTAAGGAAACCTGGAGAATGAAAATAGAACAGGAAATTGAGGAATGTAAACTGTCATGAGATACCATGGGCAGAAAAGCAGCAGACCGGCAGCAATGGAGATCACTTGTGAACGTGTCATCAGCGACATAAAGAGGATATAGATATAACAACAATAAATGTGTAAAAGTTTAAAACATTTTACTATTTGATATAAAATACAAATCAATGTGATGAACACTAAATAAAAGCAGTCTGTGAAACAGAAGAAGATTAAATCTACTGTAGGAATATAAAACTACATAAGCCTTCTACTTCTTTTGTATAAAATAATACAAGCAGCAAACTAAAAAGTGCAGTCCTGCTAGCAAAAGGGCAACAAAAGGTGTCCCATAAGTTTCCAATCAGAGAAAAAAATAGACATTTTATTAAAAACAACAATTTTTTTTAAATATAAAATGCTCTACCATTGTTTTGAAAACACATTTCAATTTGTGTAACTATTTTACTTATATAAAATGCTGTACCATTGTTTTGCAAACACATTTCAATGTGTGTAACTATTTTACTTACATAAAATGCTCTACCATTGTTTTGCAAACACATTTCAATGTGTGTAACTATTTTACTTACATAAAATGCTCTACCATTGTTTTGCAAACACATTTCAATGTGTGTAACTATTTTTACTTATATAAAATGCTCTACCATTGTTTTGCAGACACGTTTCAATGCGTGTCCTTCACTGCTGAAGAACACGTACAAGCACGGCTGGAGTTATGCTTGTAATCAATCAGGTGCCATTTCCACAATGAAGGCTGCAATGAATCTCCAACACAGCTCATGTCTTAGTTATACATCTCTGAGACTGTTATTTGTCCATCTCTTGATGTTGTCTTCCCACTTGTACTGTTGCCAGCCTCTTGGCCTTGACCTTTCCCTACAGTATAATTTTTAAAAGAGTGTTTAAAATAACTGTCTCCTTTTTATTTCTCTCAGTAATTTCATTTTTATTCCTAGTCTTTCCAAAAACGCTATATCTGATAGTCTTTGCTTCCACAAAATACAGCCCACTCTTCTGTATATCCACATTTCAAGAGACTCAATTCCTTGTCTAGTTGCCTTTTCAGTGTCCAAGTTTCTGCACCATACAGCAGGGTTGAATTCACATAACATCTGATGAATCTCATTTTTATAATGTTGTTTATCCCTCTAGTGAAAATAATTTTTTGCATGGTTAGGTTCACGTTAATCTCCCCAAATAGAGTAGGTCCCTTTTCATTCACAAGTTTGTTGGGCTGGTCGACTTTCCTGAAGGTTACGGGTGTCCTGCTCTGTTGTTTGCTTTCAGTGATGTCTTGCATTAACATTTTAATTCTGAGAAAGAGAATGTCTGTGATATAAGCTGCAGCACTCTCTAGGGGGGTTTTGTTAGGACCAGTTTTTCCATGTTTTTGAAGTGTTAAAAGCTCTGGCGTGCTGAAATATACAACACCCGATATAACGGCTTTGCGGAACACCTCCGTAACCTTGTACCAAGGAGACAGGTTCAGGAACTACCAATCAGAAGTGAGCTAGTATGTATATGGGCAGGGGGTTGGGGAGATCAACATTACTTTTACCTTTTGCATTTTAATGCTTGTTATGGTGTTGGTGATATGTTTATTTTTTTTACTGTGTTTGAAAACATAGGGACACCCTGTACTTTTATCTAAAATCAAAACAGAGACGCTGAATTTCCGACACTCTTCCTTGATTGTAGACTTAACATCCCAAACGTTCCTGGGCCAGCTTGAAAAGATCAGCACCATGGAAGTAACGGATGGCCTTGTGGCTGATCCCCAGCAGACTCAGAATCATCAGTCCCACAAGGCATCTCGCGCTCAATACAAAGCCGGTGAGCCTGGCAATGAAAGAAATCAACAAGTTAGTTGTGTTCGTTTATTATTACAGGTTTTTGAAAACAGAGTATTACGACAAATATTTGGACCTATCAAAGATGTAAACAGCGGGGAATGGAAAGTGAGAAGCAACAACGAAATTCATAATCTGTTTAAATCACCATTGATCACTGGCATCATGAGAGCTAATATACTGAAATGGTTAGGGCATATTGAGAGAATGTCAGATGACAGAGAGGTTAAAACTGTATACACAAGGGAGGTGAAAGGTCGCAGACCACGAAGCAGACCAAGAAGACAATGGAGACCTGCAAACACTTGGTAATACCAACTGGAAAGAAAAGGCCAAACAGAGAGATAAATGGAGGCGGGTGGTATCTGCAGCAATGAACCTCAAGGGCTTGGAACGCTGAAGAAGAAGAAGTTTTGTATCCTTTACAGGACATTAAAGAATCATCCCGAGCATTTTTTATTTTTTTTCTAGCAGTTTGTGATTTTACAAAAATAGTTTTCTTTTTTTTCTTCTTTTCTCTACTCCTGGAATGCCCTGTGGTGTTAGGGTAGGAAGAGATCTCTAGGATGAACCCTTCTGTTTGCTTCGTATATAGTACTTTTCAGTGTCTGATATTTCTGTGATCCATAATCTGCATGGTCTACCTCTGGTTCTGTTATCATTGTATCTGTATAGCATTCTTCTTCTTCTTCTTCTTTATGCCCTCTTTTACTGTTTCAGATGTCGAGGGAGATATAAGGTCCTGCTTTATGCTCTTCTGTATGGCAGTGCTAAACAATTTTATGTTCAGCAATTTGTCATTACATTTTGAATAGTCAGCCCTAGATACCATTTCCAACATCAAAGCAAAGTGGTAGGCTGCCCAATCCCTGCAGCTGGAATCAAGCTAGGCATCTCAGACTAAATAAATCAATAAATGCCATCAATGCACTCAGGATATTACCACAAGTTCTCCGTCTCCTTCCTAAGTAACCAATAACCAGTCAATATGCTAACAGTACCTCAGTAACTAATGAACAGTCAATAAATATCAAGACCCTGAGTTTTGTGTGCAAATCCATTTTACAGATCTGGCTTATTTAAATGCAGAATGCTGGTGTACTCCGACTTCAAAGGAACACCCTCTAATTAGTCATCATTTACAACATGTGTGTCAGGGGGGACAGTGGGTTCTGTTTTCTCCCCAAACTGGGTCCCCGGAACCCACACCAGGAGCTGACTCTTTCACAGCTTACCTCTTGTCCGCATCCTCCACGTAGCCGTGGAAATATTTATAGCGGCCGTATAAGTAGCCAGTGTACAACAGAGAGGAAGGCACTGAAATCGTAACACACAAACAAGAAAATGATGAGAAATCAAAGCCATACACATAGTCAGCGTACAGTAAATCTTCTTCTTCTTTGTTCACCAGCTGTGAGCTGTGTTTGAAAGTCCTGGTTGTTTGTCCATTTGGACTTTGGTTTTCTGCCAGGGCCTGCGTTTTGTGTGTACATCCGTTTTACTGGCTTATTTGTGTGTAGTTTGTTGTCCCTTGCCACTCAGGCAGATGCACTCCGACTTAGAAGGAAGTCCCCAGTAAGTCGACTCCTCCGACATACTTGTTGGGATAGGCAGTTGGTCTGTTCTTGTTTTCCCTCATAAAGGGGCCCTGTTACTCACATGAGGAATACAGTCAATCAAATGATGAAATCCCTGTGTGGATTCTTGGGCCCCATTGTGGGGATGGGGGGCAATATCCCCACTGCCCCCCCCCCTCCCCCCTTTCCTCCCGTAATCAAATCATAACAGACGACTAATTATTGTTGTTTTATTCAAAAACAAGAGGCTAAGAACTAACAGTCTGCATACAAATAAGCCAGATCTGTAAAATGAATGTGAATGCAAAACTTAAATTATAGAGCAATACTCAAGCCCAGAAGTGGATGAACTTTCTGCCAGAGTTTACAGCCAGTAAGAAGTAAGAAAGATAAGGAAAAGAAAGGATAAGAGAGAATAGGCTATATAAACAGTCAGTATGCAGCACAGAGGGAGCCACTGAAATCACAATGTACAAACATATAAACTATAATTACAGCTGGTAACTGTAAACATGCTTGAATGTTGAATTAAATATCTACATCATGGCACTCAGGACATTCACATAAGCGCTCCATCCCCAACTTCAGCAGCAAGTGAAGAGTTCCAGTTCCACTGGCACCAGTAACAGTCTGACTGTACATCCGTCTCACTCTCCCTTGAGTGCTAATCATCTGCCAGATCCTCTGGTCATTCCTCATAGCACCATTTTCCTAAGACTGTATTGATCTATTTGTATCTCTGCACTATTCTCTTGCTCCAAAAGCACTCTTACATCATCTAACGCTTGTCATGCATAAGTTCACTACCAAGTGGTGCAGGACCAGCCAGTCTACAGTGTATTCTTTTCCCAACACACCCCCATAAGGCGGAGAAAATTAATTGAATTACAATAACTGGTTTACCTGGATGGAAGAACACAGATCCAAGCCACAAACTCGTAAGGCTCATCGGGTAGAACTCAAATGTGTTTTGGCTGGAAGACAGTAAAAGCATAAGTACAAGATTATTTCTTTGTCTTAAGTAAGCATATCCCTTTTGGTGGTCCACAGAACTGTGGCGGAAAATTTTATAAGGTCCATAATATCATTTAACCACTGTCTGGGTAATGAAAATATTTTGTATTGGAAACACCAGCATTGACTGGGTAGAGAACACACAGTTGGAAAGCCTGTATTTTGCTGATGAATTTGTTTTGCTAAGTAATAACAGCAGTAACATGCAAAGAGAGACAGACGATTTAGCAAATATAGTATCAATGGTTGGACTACAAATAAGTTATGAATAGACAAATATATTGAAGACACCAACAACAGATCAAGTAGATGTAACACTAGAGATAAAAGTAATTAAAGTAAAAAACCAATTTACTTATTTATGTAGTAATTGTGATAGGAATAAAGTCAGTCTTGCAAGTCATCAAAGAACAACAAATGAAGTAGTTTGGACACCTAACAAGAATGCCCTGGTACTATCTGCCACAGTGAGCCATTCTAAAACATTACAACGGGTATAGAGCGAGTAGAAGGCCTCGGAAAACATGGAGTGATGGCATTAAGAACAGCCTTAAAGAAATGAACATCAATCTTAAAAGTGCTCTTGACAGAGCTCATCAACGAATGTTATATCTCCCCTTGACACTTCTCTGAGGTACAAAGTGGAAGAGAAGAAGAAGAAGATTATGATAGTGAAGAAAATACAAAAGAAGAAATTGTGACAAGCATTGGACAAGGCATCAGCAGCTCTTAATAACCAGAATAAAATAGGGAACTCTAAATTGTAGTTGTGAAACCAAGTTACATATTTTCAGTTCTAATCTTATTTCAGAAAATCAAAGCAATGTTTCCCCGTTGTAAGTTTGAACAAAGAAGACACAAACAATAGCTTGCTCAGTTTATTGTCTGGCATATTTCGCTGGATCTCTTCAAGTGCATACTACAGTAACAATTACATAAATGAAGCAAATAAGTGAATCTTTATAACTGAAGTACAATTTCAACGACGATCAAACATGACTGCCTGTTTTTACCAGGGCAGCTGTAAAGAAAGAACCATCTCTTTCTGAATACAGAGTTCCGGGCGCAGGTGACAAATCGCGGGACAAATCATTTTAAATCCTTCATACGTCAATGGCAGAACGCTAAAATTTCTCGAAGCTTCCACTTGAAATACTAAAGAAGAAGAAGCAGATGAAGAAGAAGAAGAAGAAGAAGGACAGTTCCTGGTGACTGTACTAGCCACTCAGTTCTAAATCCTCAGGCTAAAGGTCCTCAGTGCCATTCTACTCCGCTCAAATAAGGTTCTTTACAATCATTGCACGACTGAAAGTTTCACTTTCTCTAGCCAATTCTTTAGCCCTATGTGCTTTCATAGCCAGAGCATCCTCCACGTCTTGGGTCTACCTTTACTGATGTCTTTAAAAAAGTGGACAGTAAAGAAGTTGATTTTTACTTACTGGGCACGGTAAGTCCTGATGAACTCTGGAGGGCCTGTCACATCTGGAGGGCTGATGTTGAATTTATGACGTGCCGCGCCCACAGCTCTTGCATATTTTGCTGTGGAGGAAACATTGAACACAAGCTAGCCAGGCTTCCTTACTGTATCTGATGTGTGGAGGAAGCAATCAACACAAGCTAGCTGGGATTCCTTACTGTATCTGATGTGTGGAGGAAGCAATCAACACAAGCTAGCTGGGATTCCTTACTGTATCTGATGTGTGGAGGAAGCAATCAACACAAGCTAGCTGGGCTTCCTTACTGTATCTGATGTGTGGAGAAAGCAATCAATATAAGCTAGCTGGGCTTCCTTACTGTATTTGATGTGTGGAGGAAGCAATCAACAAAAACTAGCCAGCTTCCTTACTGTATCTGATGTGTGGAGGAAGCAATCAACACAAGCTAGCCAGGCTTCCTTACTGTATCTGATGATACTTACTTACGTCCTTTTTAGGACGTAATTTTTTGTGATTTGAAGCCCCACTCTGGCTTTTGCCAGGGGCCGCAATATAGGCAGGCCATAAAAATGGCCAAATGTCTGAACGCGGTTTCTGGGACCTCTCCACGGCGATCCTCATCCACATGGTGGCACGTTGTGTCATCGGGTGTTTATCGCTTGTGTGATGTCCTGGTGGGGTAGAAATTCATTCATTCATTCATGCCTTGCCTACTCTATGAGAAAAGTAACAGCATTATATTTGGAAGAAAGGGTGCTGCAAAAGCTGCCATTTTGGAATATCAATATTCTGTCTCTCCATCTGTCGGAGCTTCTCTCCTAGACCAGCTGCCAAAGAAAATGTGCAAAACATGAAAACAGTAACCAGGAGATATCTGACGAAACATCTCACCAAGCTGATAGGTGCCTGCTAGAGTCACAGCTGCAGGTAATACATATCTGTCTATTTCACGTGACATTCTTTGGTGTTGTCGATGTGCTAGTTCACAACCTGGTGCTGCTCAGTAGTGGTTATTTTCTGGGGAATAAAAAGTTAAAGGTTTGTGGAGTTTTAGTATAAGGTCCTTTTCTTCCTTTCTCTACTCAAGTTCTGTCTTTCAGTCTTGGGTTTTTAAGAAGCATCGGGTGAGAGCCTGGGTGTGCGCTAGACAGATGCTGGTATTCACAACTTGGATATTCTATCCATCCATCCATTACTGGTGTGGGTGACCTCTAGCACTGCTTCTGTTATGTCTACATAACATGGCTCTCTGTAGTGCGCTATCTTGTTGTAGTCTTGACACATGTCCCTACCATTTTAGCATGCTCCGACTAATCATAAAATTTACAAATATAATAATATTTTTGGGACTGAAAGAGTAATGTCAGACTTGGACATTAACAAAAGAACACGAGAGAAGACTAGCCACCTGTGAAATGAGATGTTTGAGAATGGCTGTGAATAAAACCAGAAGAGATCGAGTGAGAAACAATGTGATTACAAGAACTATTGGAACCATACCCATCGTTAAATTTATTGAGAAGCAAAGAATGAAATGGTTTGGTCACCTAATGAGACTGGAACCAACAATGCCAGCATCAAGAGCATACAACATGAAAATCGAAACAACAAGAGGCAGGGGAAGACCAAGAAGAAGATGGATTGAAGGAGTCACTGACAACTTGAGACTTCATAACATCACGGCATATGAAGCGACTGAGCACGCCCTGGCTCGGTTGCCGATCATCTGATAGACTGCGACGCCTAGCGGCACAAGCAGATTTTGACAAAAGAAGAAGAAAGAGTAATATAGCAGCTCGCTGGGAAAAATAAGTTTAGAAAAGCCTTCCATGTATAGAAAGTGTGTTGAGCTGTTTAAAACCAAAAGAGTCAAAAGAGTTTAAAATTCCAGAATAGGAAGAATACTGATATTCTGCATGATTAAAGCACTTAAGAGTTTCGTCACCCAGCTTCTGAGTTGAGTGCATGGTGTGACACTGTGAGCTACGAGTGTTTTTCGTTGGCACAGGAGCGGAGCAACAATGGGGTGACCCGTTTGCTATGATGCTGAAACTAGGATTACCAGATTACCAGATTACTTAAGAGAATTTGCCCCAAAACAGCTGCTTATCTCAGAGACTAATACACATTGCTGTGGCGCTGGGAAAGAGCAAGAACAGACAAAATGTTGACCAGTACGTACATGTAAAAAAATAGTACAGAGGGTATGAAATGCATGAATCAGAAACATATAGGGCAAGATATAACAGAATGGAGGAATAGACTGCAAGTCCTATGAGACATATAAATTAATAGTTTATATAGAGAGAATGCGCTTGATAACTTCGTACAAAGTACGAATTTAATTACTAAACTGCTTCGAAACTTGATATTTCTTTGCTCTCTCCGGAAAGTAGTAGCTGGTTTACATTTAATTATACAATTTTTTTTTTTAGTTTATAAAAGTTTATTATTTAAATAACGAACTACTTCTGCTACGAGTGGGAGTTAGCCTCCGAGCACTTCTTATCTAATTAAATGCACACACTATCTTATATACTATAAGAATTTAAGTGCACAAAGTGATAATTTGCTTTCAATGAGGTTCACAGATAAAACAGGAGAATGTTGTCAATGTCACAAACGGGGAAACGGCAAGAGCACAAGTGGACCGTGAAATAAACTTTGATCTGTCTCTCAGTTACTATATATAGATCTCTGCAGACGAAATTTGGGCCAAAGGTCAAATGCCAGTACTGGAGTAGAATATGATCAATTTAATTAGGATTCCAACATAACGCCCTGCATTGGTTTCGACAATAGTACCAGGAGCTGACCGTTCAAAAAGCAGTGGCAAACTAATGAGCGTAAACTTTGCCTAGAACAACCACAACAGCTTTCTTTCCCAAATAGCCGACCACATATGTCGTTACGGGAGAGTCCAATATTTTTTTTAGGGTAGTAAGGCCGGGTTTCCCCGGCTGTCTAGTTTCCCTTCCCCCCCCCCCCCCCCCCCCCGCCCGCTTTATATGTGTCTTCTAAGGCGTTGCCAAAGTTTCGGGCGTTTCTGTTTCGGGCGGCGCCATGAATTTCCTGGAATCAACAGCATCAGTGCCTCACAAGAAGAGCAGCGTTGCTTTCCTGCAATATCATGACATTCTGCATAGTACCAGACGTTGTGGCAACAATCATGCGATGGGGTTATCACTGACCGAAAGCTCCGACCGATGGTGATGTGGAAAGTCGACCTGTCGTCTTCAAATACCGCTAAGACAAGAAACATGACTGGAAGGGTCGCGCCTGTCTTACAGACAGATCATTCTGTCTTTGTACTACTGGTCCACGAGTTAACAAGCATTACAATTTGCACTGTAGAGCTGGGCATGTTGAAGAAAACAACTGTGGAGGGGAGCAACAACTTACAGGAGATTCGTACCAATACATTATTACTGAATCCTGCAGTGCTGCCACAGCAGGTGCTGCATTCTGACCTCTCTCCAGATCTACTATCGTGTAAAATTGCTATGATTAATCAATCCGTGAACCCAGCAGTATACATCTAGAATGACTGACCCTTTTTATGGCCACCCCCAGAGTACCCTAATTAGCAATTTAGCTTGCCGATTGCACAAAGAGTTTCACACAAACAAATTGTAAAACAGCATTCCTTCTCTAACCGCCCCCCCCCCCCCCCCCTCCCTCCGTTTTTTTTTTTTTTGTTTCACAAAAACGGCATTCTCCCAATTACACGTAGTCCACAATACACACACTCACACACACGCACGCACGCACGCACGCACGCACACACACACACACACACACACACACACACACACACACACAAAGAATACACAGAAAAGTGAAAACTGCAAAGCACAAAACTGCACAGCAAATGAAATGCCAAATTACTACACCATACGCTTTATCTAAAACCCCCTGAAATATTAGACTGTCCCGTGACCTGCGGATATCCCCTATTTGTAGTATATATTATTTAAAAAACCAAAAATCGTACTAGTTGTTACATGTAATTCCCGTCGTTTTTAGGATGAAATTTTCCGTTATTTGAAGCCCTACTCTGGCTCTTGTCAGGGGCCGCAATATAGTTCTAGAACAAGTCTCAGGTCCAGAAGTGGACAAGGAGCTTTATTAATATCCTACCCCAAACAGGGGGAATCCACAGGTCACGGAACAGTCTAATATTTCAGGGGCTGGTAGATAGGCTTCATGTAGTCGTGGAACTTACTCTTGCCGCAGTCGTGGGACCTAGGCTCCACTCTCTAGCGGGACGTAGGTGGCTTGGGGTTAGGGCCATTTCTAGATGTTTTGGGGTCGTTAAAGGCATTAGAAAGCTGGGAAACTCAGTCTTCCCCCCCCCCCCTCTAAAATGTTGGCCTGTCCTGTGACTTCATCTGGGAGTAGGATAATAATAAAGCACCGTGGACGAATAACCATAAATTTTCGCCGAATTTAACAGCCGGTGAACCCAACAAGGAAAGCCAATATTTATATTGATCCACTGGCACTTGATAGTTGATGTAATCAAAAAGCTGACCCCAGTGGTATGTAACCAGCGTCCGAATATTAGAGGAAATTTTTTGTTGTTTTAAAGCCCCATCCTGGGAATTGCTGGGGGCCCTAATATAACCCAGACTGTGGTGTCCTGGCGGGAAAAACGTCAGTCAGTCAGTGAAACCGACCGCCTATATTTCCCAGGATGTTTTCAGGTATTCATTTTAGGCCGGGTCGGTCTGGTACGTCACGTCATTAATAACATATCCGTCTCGGTGAAGATTCATTGATAATTATTTCGCAGAGCAGAGAAATGGCTACTGTCCTCCTCGCCGCCGTTGCACATTCTGACAGGCTGCTGTCCCCCACCCCCCCCCCCTTTATGGGGTTCAAGGTCCCATAGTGATAAAAGGTTGGGGGGGGGGTGTGGTGGAGCGATGAAGTAAGCCGGATCTGTAAAACGGATGCGCATGCAAAACGCAAGGTCTGGAACAAGCACAAAATCCAGACGTAGGACAACTAGAACTTCCCGCCGGAGTCTACAGCTGGCGAACGCAAAGAAGACGAAAGCTGTTTTGTATTTATCGTTATCATCGTCCCACTTGTATCATTGTTTTCCTTTAATGTCCGCCGTCGATAGTTCCTAACATTACCAAATCAGAACTAGTGCAACACCTTCCCTGGCTAGCCCACGGGAACCCCTCTGCTTCATATAGAAAAAAAAATCGTCACGTTAAACAAGCATCCCCGAAGGGGAGATTTAGGTAATAATTGTGAGTGCTTTATTAAATTCCTACCCCCCAGATGACGTCACAGAACAGTCCAACGTTTTAGAGGGTAGTAAGACTGGGTTTTCCGGCTTTCTGATGGATTTAAAGACCTCAAAAAAAAAAAAAATCTAGAACTGGCCCTAACCCCAACCCACCTACGCTCCACGAGAGAGTGCAGCCTAGATCCCACGACTGCATGCAGCCTATCTACCACCCCCTGAAATATAAGACTGTCCCCTGACCTGTGGATTTCCTCTGTTTGGGGTGGCATAACTGTGACTAGGTTATTTGCACGATATGAAATGGCTTAGCATTTCACACCAACAAGAGCCTTGGAAATGACTGTTGCAGTATTGATGCGATCAAAGGATACAGACCGTGGCCTACTTTCTGTTTTTTTTTTTTTTGTGTGGCTCAGTTTTGTTTGTTTTGGCTTTTTTGTTCCATCCCCGCCCCCTTTTTTTTTCTTCTGGCCACACATGGTACAGAAGTAGTGGGAATGTACAAATGTTCCACTGTGTAAACTCAACTATCCAATCCTGACGCAGGTTCTGCTTTCAACAAAAGTGCACTATTACCCGACCGATATTAGCGTTTGGGTGGGTGGGGCGGGGGAGGGGGGAGGGGTGGTTTCTCCTCCAGTTTATCTCTTTATCTTCTCGCCCACCCTTGTCGTGTCCTTCTCGCCCACCCTTGTTGTGTCCTGGTTCCGCAAGAGATGCTCAATTCATTGAGTAGTCTTTTTGCCGTCTGCAGAAGCCGCTGTTGACTGGGATACGAGATGGTGCGCGCCTGGTACAGAGCCGAGACTGGGGACGATAAGGAGGCAATGATGCTAGATCCTCCACAGTTTCTTCCAGTGGAGGAGGTGATGAGGAAAACGGGCATCATATGTCTTAAGGTACAATGGAAGTGTTACTTTCGTTTTTTTTTTCTTACCTAGGACATTTCAAAATGTTTTTCGTAACCAAAGAAAATATTTAATTTACGCTTTACCTTATTTTGATCAATATTATTCGTCAATTTTATTTTCAAAGTCAAATTACCCATCAGAGATTGTGTGTTTAATCATCATCATTATGTGCCCTACCAGTAAGCGTAGGCTGTTATGTTTCACCATCTCACATGATGGATCTCGGTGGTGAAGTGGTCAAGCCATTTATCTGGCTCCGTTCAATTAAATTTTTACGGAGATTCGTGGGGATCGTCGCCTGAGATACGGAGTTTCTGCTCTGTGCGACGCTCTCGACAGGCAGCCTGCTTTTCTGCGGAGAGAGACTGAGACATATGGGATAAACCTGGTGCAATGAAGTCAATGCTCTCGCCTATACCTTTACTATCTTACATGATCACCAGAATCAAGGATCAGGTCCGTGTTTATGTCTCGCTTCATCCTTGTGGTCAGGTCATCCAGGTGCTTCTCTCTCTTTGCTTTCCTCTTCCTCTCTTTTTATCAATCTTGCTAGTTGTTACAACGTTCTATAACTGTTTCCTTCTCACACACACGTCCGAAAACACCAACTGTCTGTGTTTAATTATTCTAATACGTCTACGACTTTCATTTGTTTCGACGAGGACTGCTTCATTTGCTTTTATAACTATATAATATTTCAGAATGATACAATAATATATCATCATAAACTAATTCTGCCGTTAAGCGTTCGGGAAGGAACATTTTGCGATCCAATGCACTCTGGCTGTTGTCATGCTATAAAGGCGTATAGTATCTTTAATATTGTCAATTCATATTTTCTTTAGATAGTGTCCATGTTTGGCACTGGTAGCTGAATGTTGAAATAAATATGCTGTTTATAGTCTGTGTCTCTGCATTATTAGTTATGTTTAAATATCTTAATAATAGTGTACATTTTTTTGAGTGTTTCACTAGGGGCGGAACCCAGTATTTCGTTCACAACTCGGACACCAATAAAGATATGGCCACGAAATTTGAAATGGGCCTACCTCTGTTTATGATAAGTCGGAAGACATCTTCATAACAGTTGCTGGAAATGGTCAGCAGCCTCGTCCAGTTGTTTTAATTATCATTTTCGCTCTTTGCTCTTTTATATTTTAATCTTGTTTATTCTAAGTAAATCAGACATCGTCTCAAGTCGGACAGCCAGGTGTCAGTCATCATCATCAGGTGCCTTGCCGACTGGCGTGGGCGATCATGCCTCTCCATAATCTGCGATCTCCTGCAGCATGTATCAGTTCGTATGCCGACACACCTCCATGCCATGCAAAAAGACTGTCAAGAATCATCTATCGTTGTCTTCCTCTATCCCTCCTTCCACAGATCTTTCCAGTTGTCACAACATTTTCTATTTTTCCTCTTCTCATAACATGGCCGAAAAATGACGACTGTCTCCTTCTGATGTCTGTGATAAGTAATCTTTGGGCTTCCGCTTCTTTCAAAACCTCTTGGTTGCTCTTTTTGGCTGTCCAATGTATTCTAAGCATTCTTTTGTAAAACCACATCTCTGAGGCCTCAAGAAATTGTTTGGCCTGCCTACCGATTGTCCAGGATTAACAGCCATATGTTAAAACTGGATGTATATAGCAAGCAAGAATTCTTTTTCTAACTTTCTATGACAAGGATATATTGCACAAGATATTCTTCATTTTATAAAATGCACTTTTTGCCTGTCCTATTCTGTTTCTTATCTCAGTTATGCATCTTCCATCTGGTGTTATCCATGTGCCCAGATACTTAAATTTCTGTACTTGTCCTAAAATAACGCCATCGACTTTTATTACACATTTAGGAATAATTCGTTTCTTTGATACCAACATTACTTCTGTCTTCCCATTATTCAAACTGAGGCCCATTCTTCCACTTTCTAACACCACAATGTTTATCATTTCCTGTAATTCTTTCTGACTTGTTGCTATCAAGACTGTGTCATCAGCATAACGTAAATTGTTTATATTGTGCCCACCAACCACAATTCCGGGCATATCAATTAAAGATCTCATTATATTTTCACTGTATATTGAAAACAAATCAGATGACAGTACACATCCTTGTCGTACGTCACTCTTTATGCTTTGAAATGTACCTAAACAGTTGTTAATTCTTATAGCTGCTGTTTGCTGGCAATAAATATTCTTTATTATTCGTAGATCTTTCCCATCAATGTTTAATTTTTCTAACAGTTTGATTACTTCTTCATTCTTCACAGAGACAAATGCTTTTGTATAGTCTATGAAGCATAAGTACAAATCAGTCTTTACTTCTATAGCTCTTTCTGACAATGCCCTTAGGATGTATATGGCATTGTTTGTACCTTTTCCTTCTACAAATCCACATTGTTCATCGCCGATTTCTGGTTTAATTTTGTTTCTTATTATTCTCATAATTATTCTCAGTAAAATATTAGTCATTTGACTCATAAGACTTATTGTGCGATGGTCTTTACATTTTAAAGTGCCTGGTTTCTTTGGCAGAGCTATAAATATGCATTTTTCAAAGGTCATTTGGAATATAAACACACCATTATAAATATCTTTTAAAAGTTTAGTTATTATTAGGGCTGTGCCGAATAGTGATTTTCACTATTCGGCCGAATACGAATAACGGGACCAACTATTCGGCCGAATACGAATACGAACATAAATAGTGTATAGTAAATAAAATATATATAAAACACATTCATAATGCCAAATGTACGCTGAACTTTTACTTCATATAGAGTAGCACAAAATAGTCATCTTCTTCTTTAGCATTCTGAGCCCTTGAGGTTTACTGCTGCAGATATCACTCGTCTCCATTCATCTCTCTGTCTGGCCTTATCTTCACAATTTGTGACACTAGTTGTTTGCAGGTCTGGCTGGACATTATCTCTCAAACTTCTTTTTTTTTTTTTTTTTTTTGTCTGCCTTGTGGTCTACGCCCATTTCTCTCTCAGGCGTATACAGTTTTACTTCTCTGTCATCTGACATTCTTTCAATATGCCCCATCCACTTTAGTCTGTTAGCTCTCATGATGCCAGTGATCAATGGTGATTTAAACAGATTATGTGTTACGTTGTTGCTTCTCACTCTCCATTTCCCGCTGTTACCATTTTTGATGGATCCAAAGATTTGTCGTAAGACTGTTTTCGAAAACCTGTAATTAGGCCTCATCTTTTTTATTTCTGCTTCAAGTTTCAGAGCCTAATAAAACGACTGGTCTTATCAACGTTTTATATATTTTGATTTTGGTGTTGCGAGACAGACACTTTGACTTTAGCAGATGTTGAAGGGCATAGTATACTTTATTTCTACATTGTGTTCTAGATTGTATTTCTTCTCTCAGCATATTGGAGCAGTTAAAGATGCACCCAATTACTTATATGCTTCCGTTCGTTTGATTGTAATATTATCGACTTGGATGTGGCCGGGGTTTATATTCTTTCCATGTCTAGTTAGTATTCGTACAGAATAGTAAACATTTAAAAACATTTTATGTTTTGCATCCTTCAGTCAGTCTGTGGTAACTAATAACTAGGAATGCAAGAATCCTAAGTATTATAACAAGTAACTAAACTTGTAGATTGTCACTGACGCTTAGTTAATGCATGAAAGCTGCATTAGCTTACAACAAAACCAATCGTTCCATGTTGTCAGTATTAAGGCCGTGTATACAGAAACGTGTGTAAGGTAACTAACTACTAGGGCTGTACCGAATAGTGATTTTCACTATTCAGCCGAATACGAATAGCTGGACCAACTATTCGGCTGAATACGAATACGAATAGTGAATCATCATCATCAGGTGCTTTGCCGATTGGTATGGGCGATTATGCCTCGCCACAATCTGCGATCTCCTGCAGCATGTATTAGTTCGTGTGCTGACACACCTCCATGCCATGCAACAAGACTGTCAAGAATCTTCTCTTCCTCTATCCCTCCTTCCACAGATCTTTCCAGTGGTCACGTTCCATTTTCCCTCATCTTATAACATGGCCGAAAAATGATGACTGTCTCCTTCTGATGTCTGTGAGGAGTTGTCTTCGGGCTCCCGCCTCTATCAAAACTTGTTGGTTGCTTTTTTTCCCCCCACGGTATTTTAAGCATTGTTCTGTAATACCACATCTCTGAACACCACTAGCCTCGGTTCGATGTTCATTCACTAGTCTTCTTGTAGTGAGCACCACTCGCCTCGGTTCGATGTTCATTCACTAGTCTTCTTGTAGTGAGCACTGGTTTACCAGCCTTTTTGTAGTAAGCGCCGCTCGCCCCAGGTAGACGTTCGTTTACTAGTCTTCTTGTAGTGAACACTGCTCGACCCAGTTCATCGCTGGTTTACCAGTCTTCTTGTATTGAGCATTGCTCGCCCCAGATCAATGTTCGTTCACCAGTCTTCTTGTAGTGAGTACCGCTCGCCCCAGTTCGATGTTCGTTCACCAGTCTTCTTGTAGTGAGTACCGCTCGCCCCAGGTCGATCTTCCTTTAGTAGACATCTTGTAGTGAGCACCGCTCGCCCCAGTTCGATGTTCGCTCACCAGTCTTCTTGTAGTAAGCTCTGCTCGCCTCGGTTCGATGTTCGTTCACCAGTCTTCTTGTAGTAAGCTCTGCTCGCCTCGGTTCGATGTTCGTTCACCAGTCTTCTTGTAGTAAGCTCTGCTCGCCTCGGTTCGATGTTCGTTCACTAGTCTTCTTGTAGTAAGCACAGCTCGCCTCGGTTCGATGTTCGTTCACTAGTCTTCTTGTAGTAAGCACTGCTCGCCTCGGTTCGATGCTCGTTCACCAGTCTTCTTGTAGTAAGCACTGCTCGCCTCGGTTCGATGTTCGTTCACTAGTCTTCTTGTAGTAAGCACTGCTCGCCTCGGTTCATTGTTCGTTCACTATGCAGGATATTTTAAGCATTGTTCTGTAATACCAAATCTCTGAGGTTTCAAGAAATTGTTCGGCCTGCCTACCGATTACCCAGGACTCACAGCCATATGTTAACACAGGATGTATGTAGCAAGCAAGAATTATTTTTCTAACCTTCAATGACAAAGAAATATTGCATAAGGTGTTCTTCATTTTATAAAATGTAGTTTGTGCCTGTCCTATTATGTTTCTTATTTCAGTAATGCATCTTCCATCTGAAGTTATCCATGTGCCCAGATACTTAAATTTCCTTACTTGTCCCAAAATAAAACCATTGACTTTTATTAAACATTTAGGAGTTATTTTTTCTTTGATACCACCATTACTTCTGTCTTCCCACTATTCAAACTTGGGCCCATTCTTCCACTTTCGTGTATAAAATAGATCTAAAAAGAAAACATCCATAATGTCAAATGTACGCTGACATTTTACTTCACAAAATGTAGTACAGAATAGTAAACATTTAAATACATTTCATGTTTTGCATTCTTCAGTCAGTCAATCTGTGGTAACTAATACATAGGAGTGAAAGTATTCTTAGTTTTATAACAAGTAACTAAACTTTTAAATTGTCACTGACAGCTTAATTAATCCATGAAAGCGGCATTGGCTTTCCACACACACAAAATCGTTCCATGTTGTCAGCATTAAGGCAGCTTCTTGTCTCACTGAAGGCATTTCCAGCTGTACTGAACAGACGTTCACTTGGTACGCTCGTAGGTGGTGCACAAAGATAACGCTTGACAGTATGAACCAAGGTGGGAAATCTTGACATGTTTATTTTTTACCAGTCCATAAACGGGTGTAAGGTAACCACTATTCGTATTCAGCCCGACCGCAACTATTCGGCCTAATACCGAATAGTTATTAGGTCCACTATTCGGCCCCGAAGCGAATACGAAGCGAATATTCGGTACAGCCCTAGTAACTACTATTCGTATTCGGCCCGACCGCAACTATTCGGCCTAATACCGAATAGTTGATAGGTCCACTATTCGGCCCAGAAGCGAATACGAAGCGAATATTCGGTATAGCCCTAGTTATTATTTCAGTTCCAAAATCTCCCAGTGCTTTGATTTCTTCCAATGAGATGTTGTCTGACCCGGGTGCTTTTCCTTTCTTCATATGATGTATTGCATCCTCAACTTCTGCAGTCATTATTGGTGGACCATCATTGTTGGTCTGCAGTTCTACATCTGGTCTATTATCATCATACAATTCACCTATATACTCTGTCTATCTGCTAATTATATTACTATGTCCCATTAATAGGTCACCATCTTTTGATTTCAAACATCCAGTGCTGTTACTTGTAATCTTTCCTGTTAACATATTTATCTGTTGGTAAATGGAATGTGAGTCTTTCCTGTGATTTTTCCCAATCTCTGTACACATTTGATTCAGCCAGGCTTCTTTAGCTACTTTGCATTTGTTCACTATTGTTTTTTTTATTCTAGAGTATTCTTCTTTATCATTCTTTTTCTTCTTTCTCTCATCCATCAACTGCAGAATATCGGTTGACATCCATTTCTTTTTTGCAACTCTATGGGTTGGTGGGATTGTCTCTGTTGATGTCTGCTGAATGGACTCACGCAACATATCCCACTGTTCATCAATAGTCTCTATAATTTCCATTGCATTATACCGGTTTTGTACAGTGACATCGTACTGTTATTTAATTTCGTTATCCGTTCTAAGAATTCCATAATTTAACTAGATGTTTTTCTAATGTTCTTTAGTTTTATTCTAATTGTTCCTGCAACTGGAACATGGTCACTAAAGCAGTCTGCTCCTGATTTAGTTTTTGCTCCAACTAAGCTGCTCCGGAATCTTCTTAAAATCAAAATATAATCAATCTGACTGCGGACAGTATCGCCAGGACTTTTCCAAGTCCACAATCTTCGAGAATGCTGTTTAAACCAGGTGTTACCTATTATCATGTTGTCAGGAGCCTTAGCAAATAACTGTTTTACAAGGTTGAAATCCGTTTCCGGGTTTTGTCCAGGCTGCATTACAACCAGAAAAGTAGCTCTTTAAGTCAGCTGATGTGCAATAACTCACGTCGAATTCCTAATATATTTTAAGGAAAAGAAGTGGGAATGGGGGTTTCAAGGAATGTTGTTGTTATTATTAATATTATTTTTTATTGTTATTATTATTATTATTATTAATATTTTTATTGTGGGTAATTTACAAATTTGGAAACGAGCAATAATTGAACAAAATAATGTAGATTTTTTTCTGTCATTTCAATGCAGAGTCGCCATAGTATTGCGGCTAGGCGCTCTGATTCCGTTCCATTTGTCTTATGCGCTAATCCGCATCGTGTTGGATTTTTAAAAACAACAATTGCCTTGGCTATCAGGTCAACACAGCTTAAAATGGGTACTAGGTAAACTCCTAGGAAGTAAAGGCGGCCGGCGTGATACTGACCACATCATCAAACGCGATTGGTTTATTAGGTTTGGGTCTAGTACAACGGTCTCCAATCTTTTGCTGGTGGCGCCCCTCCCCTTTCCCCCCGAGTGTATTGTAAACCGCCCCCTCCCCTCCCAGACATAACAAACATTAAAAAAATGAGGAATGTGTTCTTAATCTATATTTGAATGCACCTTTCAACATATTAATTAGATTTTTACCTGTAGATATATAAACAAGCTCATGAAAACAGAAACTGTCTTGGCTTTATGTATTAGACATAGTCTAAAACATATTTTATTTTTACAATTAAACTGCAACCCACAGAAAATCTTTTTTTTTTAAAACCCCAGCTTTGGTAATCCGTGAGTTCAAGGGTAAGTCCAACATTATAGGGGTGTTACAGTGTGAAATGAAAACCAACTCCTCCCCCCCCCCCCCCCCGTCCCCCTCCCATAATGTTTGACTTGCCCCTGAAACTCTTGAATAAAATCGAGACGGAGTGAGCAAAAAATGTGTAAGCCTAATAGATTATTACAAGTACAAATGAACTCATGTTCAAAATTGCTTGACGCCCACCTTGGAACTTCCTCACACCCTATGAGGGTGAAGGGGCGCTGCGCCCCTCTTGTTAGAAACTACTAATCTATCATCATACGCCCGACGCGCACTAGTGTGAAAATGGTCCTTTGCTTTTGCTTCCACAGTTCAAGGCAGCCACCTGGGACACGGATGGAGAGTACGCTGCCTTGAAAGAAAGCAGACGATACAGCTATGAGGACACTGTGGAAATCTCCAAGGAAGCACTGCCAAACTACGATGCATTGGTGAGTGTGTATTCGAATCGGGGGCATAAATAAAAATTCCAATTTGTACAGTCTGCGGCGACAGCATTGGCTGTGCGGCCCTAAATTCTTAAGCTCGAAGACTCCTGCATACACCGTAAAAGTGGTAAATATAGGCAGAAATTGGATGAGTGTGTGTGGATAGTCTAGGCCAGTGTTTCCCAAACTGTGCGCCGTGGCTCCCCGGGAAGCCGCGACCTCTTCACAGGAGCGCCGCGAAATATTGTAAAAGTTTCATAATTGATTTAACCAAGACACGAATAGTCATACTTTTACTTAGGTTAGGGCGCCGTGGAAAAATATTAATTGAAAAAAGGTGCCACGACCAAGAAACGTTTGGGAAACACTGGTCTGGGCGATTGATTAACCTGTCTTCAGATTACAAATTATCATTTGTACTGTGGGTGACTTTCAATTGTAACACGAATACTCAGAGCACAAGTGGTAGTCTGTGGTCCTTGTCACCGTCCAGGACTGCTGTCGGCAGTATAAGCACCTCAAGGGTGAAAATTAAACCAGAGCTAATCCAGAATCACTTCTCAAAATAGTTGAATGCTTGGGGGTCGCCAAACACGAGGAACTGTATTAAAGGGTCGCGGTATTAGAAGGTTGAGAACCTCTGCTTTATGGTTTCGAAGTAAATCTGCAGTCCTAGTAAGATCAGGCGCGTATCATGGATTTTCGATCCAGGAGATTCAAGTGTGTGAGATAACAATGATGCTTATAGATTAGCTGCTACCGCTCCTCTGTCTGATGATCTACTTTATGATAAAGCAAACATGGTGAAGACTCTCTGAGTAGCTCAGAAGGGAAAGCGCCGAAGGCGCGACCGTTCGTGAGTGTCGAATCATTTATGTTTTTTTTTTTTTGTACGGTCGTTGTCGGTGGCTATGGTCGGTGGTAGCTGTTCAAAACAAGCAATACCTGACACCCCTAAAACATAGGAAAGCCCGTGGAATGGCCACGATGCTGCGCATAAGGTAGAGGGGGCCCTATCACAAACACAGTGCAGGTCCATCCTGTATTATTAATCTTTTAGCGCAAAGTAAAAGAAGAATATATTGCGCTTTTTAGTGTATGTATCAAGCCTGAATTGCAGTAATTTAGGCTATTGGTAATTTTATTAACGTGTGAGTGTGTGTGTGTGTGTGTGTGTGTGTGTGTGTGTGTAAAGGATTGTATAAAATTATCTCTGATTCCTCAATCTATTTGTTTCCCATTTCTGTAACTGTTTAGTGATCTGCTGTCCGTTTCTCTCCCATGATGTGCTATATGTATTTCCTTCTTTTGTATTCCTTTTTAAAACTGTGGATACAATAAGTTTTAGGACAGTTCTTTAATCACTTCTCCTTTCTTGAATTATTCCAATCTATTGTTTATCTGAAGGCATCTGTGGCTAAGGTGTTACGAACGCGTTTCGTAATGTCGGGGTGCAGGGTTCGATCCCAGCTGCGGGCCTTGCGTCTTGCGTTGGTTTCGACAGTGGTATCGAGAAGCAATGGCAAACTCCTGGATGTAAACTTGTCTAAAAAAACCACAACAGCCAAAAATGCCGAGGTTGGTTCTGTAACGTCCTGTAAAGGATACGCAACTAACTTTTTAATTGTTTATCTGTTTTCTCCTGCACTTGTTTTTGAACGTATTTAACTTTCGTTCTTTGCATTTAGTAGTTGTCAAACTTTCACTGGCATGTGTAAACATTAAAATAACGTTAGAATTAAGAACACGTAACTTGACCGACTGACTGACTTTCTACCCCACCAGGACATCACACAAGCGACAAACACCCGATGACACAATGTGCCACCATGCGGGTGAGGATCACCGTGGAGAGGTCCCACAAACCGCGCTCAGCCTTTAGGTCATATTTATGTCTAGGCTATACTGCGGGCCCTGGCAAGAGTCAGAGTAGGGCCTCAAACAACGAAAAATTTTATCCTAAAAAGAACGAGGAGTATTGATGATACAAATACGTAACTTGGTCATTTAGGGGAAATAATTCGGAGTTGTTGGATTGAAGTGCTACAGACTAATTATAAGAATACCATTGTCCGAGAAGAAGAAAAGCACCGAAATTCTTACTTACTTAGTCGCTCCTCTTCTACCTTGGGGTGTAGAGGTTTGCCAGAGAGATCGCCAGACGTCTCTATCAGCAGTCTTCTTTCTGGCTTTGTTCCATTCCAGTCCTCTGTCAGTTAGTGACTGTCGGATGTTGTCTTCCCAGCGCACCCTGGGTCGTCCCGGAGACACCGAAATTCTACAAAAACTAATCATCGAAGAAAACTGGCTCATAAACAGCATCTTGTATTGAAAGTTCATATGTTTTGGCTATTTTAAAAGTCGTGGTAGCCTGAAGAGAAGTCTGATAGAGGGTAACGTTTCTGGAAAACGAAGCAGAGATAGGCTTCCGTGGAAGTGGATAAAAGACAATGCAGATGCATAGATATGAAAGCACATAGGGCTGGAGAACTGACTACAGAAAGAGGGGCTTTCAGGCGTGCCGTGACGTGAGCCACGTTCTGTAAAGGACATTCTGACTGACCATGAAAAACTTGGTTTCAAACCTATGTAATATAAGTTCTGTCGGCGTCTGTGGCTTAGGCATTGCGAACCCGCTTCTTAATGCCGGGGTGCCGGGTTTGATCACAGCTGACGGCGATTTTTCGCCTTGCGTTAGTTTCTACAGTGGTATCAAGAACCGACCGTTCGGTAAGTAATGGCAAACTACTGAATATAACATTTGCCTAGAAAAATAACAAAAGGATAAAATTTTCATGCTGGTTCTGCAACGTCCTGTAAAGGATACGCAACTAACAAAAATAAGTTCTAAATTTTTGCTCATACTTTTAAAGGCAATGTAAACTTGATGTTTATTGTTTGTTTTTGCTGGAACATTCTGGTAAATGATCAATGTCTTCAGGTGAAGACTTTTGCTACCGAGCACATCCACCCGGACGAGGAGGTCCGGTTCGTGATTGAGGGCACTGGTTACTTTGACATCCGTGATTGGGACGATCGCTGGATCAGACTGGAGGCCAGACCAGACGATCTACTCATCCTCCCAGCTGGTATCTATCATCGGTTTGTCTTGGATAAAAAGGTAAGTTTGGCTAATAGTCTACAGACTGTGCAGTTACAAGTACTAAAGCTGTTATTTAGGCCTGGTGGCTAATGCCCAAGAACGCCATGTCATTAGAAACCCATAAAAGTAGGAACACTGTCTTACTTATGGTGATAGGGTTAAGTCTTGCAGCGACGTCTTCAGACGAAGACGATATACCTTTTGAAGGACTCAAAATGTGACAGATATAGGAACTATTCATTGACATTATTGAGAGAGAGAGAGAGAGAGAGAGAGAGAGAGAGAGAGAGAGAGAGAGAGAGAGAGAGAGAGAGAGAGAGAGAGAGAGAGAGAGAGAAAGAGAGAAAGAGAGAGAGAGAGATTCTAAAGGTTCATATGGGAACGACGTTCTGTAAAGTACCTGCTACATAATGATGATTTATTATACCTCAATGTTTAAAGCACTGCTTTGCGTAACCTACTGGGCCCACTTTTAGAGCGCCTTGGTATAACACGATAAAAGATAAGAAATAGTATCTGAACATTCACTATAAACTCCCCGTCCTATTTATCATAACCGGCTAATGGGAACAGGAAAATATTTTAAATAGCACAAGTATAAATTGCGTAAATCAGGAAAAATATATATAAGGAAATGACATCATAAATTGGTGAACAACCACATTCGGATACCTGCCACCATTAAAGAACATACGCAAGTTAAGTAAAGGACCCTTTTCCCCACCTTCAGGAGAATTGGACACAAAGGACTAGATCAGTGTGTTGTCCATCAAAATGATGACGACCACTCTTTTTCTTCAAGTATGAGTGCGAAGATGACTGATAAGGCCGATGCGGGCCCGAAAAGTTCTTGGACAGTGAGGACAGGGAATGAGCGTTGTGCCAGGGAGGGGATCTCCTGCAGTCGCCTTTCTGTCCATCCTTTTCTTAATAAGTCTTGCTGTTCTGTTTGCTTCACATGTAGCCGCGCCCTTGTGTAGAGCTGCACGCCATGCATTTCTGTCTTTAGAGGCAGCCTCCCAGTTGGTGTCATTCATCCCAAATGCTTTGAGTGAAGACTTCAACGTGTCCTTAAAGAGTTTCTTGTGCCCGCCTTGAGGGCGTTTCTGATTTTGCAGCTCACCATAGAAATGTTTTTTTTTTTTTTTTTGAGCCTGTGATCTGGCATGCGTGTCACATGACCAGCCCAACGAATTTGATACTGCATCAGTAGAGTGTGGATGCTGGGCATGGCAGCTTTCTCAAGGACTACGGTAGCAGGTACTTTGTCTTGCCATCTGATATGCATTAGTTTTCTAAGGCAGACTAGATCAGTACTTCATCGGCCAGTCGACACTTTGTGGGTAATGTGGTTGATATTACGCCGGCCGCCTTTACTTCACAGAACTGTACCTGGTACCCATTTAAAGCTGGGTTTAAAGAAATATGCTCAACCAAAAATACTCTTATTTCAATATTTAACACCATTATAGGTGAGATAAATTACTAAAACACCGGTGTATAGCGGTGATATTCTAAACTAACAGTTACATGACGCTTGAAACATTGACGTAATACATACATTTAATTACGGTGCGCAAATAACTGATTTACAAAAGTATACATACATTATATATATATATATACATTAAACATACACCGTATAGATAAAATACTCACAAATGCGATATATATTTACAAGAAGGTTACACCGAAATTACAGCTGATATTATATATCCCAATTTTAACCCTGCTAGTCTTTACATGAGACAGTGGAGGTCATTTTCTGTCAATTCCACTGACACAGAAACGGGATAGTTATGTTGTGACCCGTCTGCTGCATCATCATCATCCCGTAGCACTGCGTGTCGTTGGGTCACCGGTTGCTGTTGACAGTCTGATCAGATCCCTCCACCGTCAGATGCGACGGACTTCATGGCTGCATGCCCGAGGCCTGTCCAGTCAGTCAAGTTCTGTATTTAGTTCTTTCTTGGTCTGCCTCTTCTCCTCTCTCCCTCTCCTGAACCCTGCAATATTTTTTTTTTTTTTTTGAGAGACTGTTAAATTTTATCACATGTCCGTACCATTGCATTTTTCTTCTTTTCACTGTAGTTTAAAAAAAAAGGGTATCATAGTTGCCAGTGTGCCAGGTAATTATCACACCTGTCTGCAGTGAATCTGAAACCTCGACTAACGACTTGATTAACCCAGGGGTTACATCCCAATGCAGCACTGAACTTTTTTTTTTATCTGATTTTATTTCCAGCGACAAGGCGGAGTTAAGGGTGACTTATCTGTTCGCCTACGTGTGGGATAAAGCTAGGCTGTGTTATGTTTCTCAGCGTTTCTTATGGGCTATTTTCAGATTGGTCAGCAGAGAGCAGGCTAGTGGTCAGGTACAAGTATTGTGAAACGCTATAGTGGCTTTTCGCCCTTTTGTCATCGCCGAAAGTATAAGGCAGAATGCGGGAATCCCCTATTATATATGTTTGGTGTGTGATAAAAATATAAAGCCCCTAAGAGAAGGGTCTTATAAAGCACCCTGACAGCCTGTTTAAGAAGAAATTTATTATTTGAAATATCACAGTATTTATTATACGATGTTACACTCAATTGTATGTTTCAAATATCAAAGAGAACGTATTATAAAAGGTTTGGATATATCAAAGAGAATATATAATGTTAACTCACTATTTGTAGTAAAAAAGAGTGAGCGATAGTTTCAAAGGGAAACAGTGCTTGTCGGACACAGGTGATATGTACGCATTCAGTACAGCCTATCTTTGAGTCAGCGAGTTCAAAGTGCAAATAGGCGGCTTCAAAACACGCAAGCATGACTGGCAATCTGAATCCGGTTATAACGATATTGGCTTTGTATTTAATGAAAGTTGCATGACACAATCAGCAGTTAGATCAGTATTTATCACTGACATGATTAGAACATTGTAAATCACTCATAACGTGTTTTATTTCTCAACATAAAGCTGAAAGTTGTGATAAGAATTAATGTTCTTATATCAAACTATTGAAAAAAAGGAGGTGGGGAAAAGGGGGTAGGGGGAGGGCGAGACCGTCGACAGCAACCGAAAAACAACATGACAACTTGGCAAAAACCGATACCAAATAAGAAAAGGGTCAACAGCTGGCATAAACATGAAAATGTGGCAACAGAAGATAAAAAACAGCCGACAAAACGATTATGCTGGAGATGATATCGCTTGATATTTTCCTCCTCGTCGCTTCGCCGTTGAGAATATTCGCGTGTAGCTAGCATTGTAGTATTGGTAACTTACAGCTTTCACACTTTACACTTTCTGCTTGAGCTGTGTATGTATGTAACTAGGGTTCTTTTAGTTATGTGGGACTGACTGACTGACTGACTTTCTACCCCACTAGGACATCACACAAGCGATAAACACCCGATGACACAAAGTGCCACCATGTGGATGGGGATCGCCGTGGAGAGGTCCCAGAAACCGCGTTCAGACAATTGGCCATATTTATGGCCTGCCTATATTGCGGCCCCTGGAAAAAGCCAGGGTGGGGCTTCAAATAACAATATATATATAAAATATATATATATATATAGATAAATTATTTTTTCTAAATAATAACACAGTACAATTCACCACACATAAATTATTATTTTGAAATAATAACACAGTACAATTCACCACACATAAATTATTATTTCGAAATAATAACACAGTACAATTCTCCACACATAAATTATTTTTTGAAGTAATAACACAGTACATTTCTATCATGGCCAGCTAATAACAAAATATTTCATCCTAAAAAGGACGAATCTAATTTTTGAGAAATAATTATGTGGGAAACATAAACCGCGTGGCAAATTTGTACTTACTAGTAAACACTAAGAGAAGTTAAATGTCGAATAGCTCAAGCAAAGACAGCATTTTACAAAATAAAGAATATTTTATGCAAACATTCTTTGTCAATTGAGATGAGAAAGAAACTTGTTAAAAGCTATATAAATCCTATATTGATGTACGGAGATATGGTTTTATAGACGAATGATGAGAATACAATGGACAGATAAAAAGAGTAATGAAGACTTCTTGAAAGAAACAGGCTCACGTAGAGAACTGATTGCCCACATCAGAAAGGGACTTACATTCTCTGGACCTGTGATGGGAAGGAGATAACTGGAGTACATCGTGAGGTTAGAAATATGGAGGGATGGAGAGGCAGAGGGAGACCCAGAGAACAGATGCTGGACAGTTGGACATCACGGCAAGGAAGATCATCTATGTCAGAGCTGCTTGAAAGTAATACACGAGACAGAACGTTGTGGAAAGACACGATTACCAACACTACACGGCATAGACTTTAAGAAAAAGAAGTAAACAATAATAATAGTAGAATAATGCATTGTTATTTTGCGCTGGAAATGTACGCAACGATTACAACCGTTTCATGCATGCATCCGGTTCTTTATTTAGAGTTTGCCAGTTTGGATCTTCTTAAATATGGCTAATTGAGTCTGACACCATCAATGTTGGAGATACTTTTTGTTGCACCAGCCATGCAAGTGCCCCCCCCCTCTCCCGTGACAGCTGCTAGCTCCATCGTCATGTTAGAAGTAGTTGAACTGAGTGCCCGACTTTCTTCTTTCACTGTCTTCCCATTTACCTGCACTGCCCACCCAGACCGCACCACAGGAACCACTGAACAAACTGTATAGATAATGACGTCAGCCCTATCTAGCGGATGAAAGAAATGGCCACCACTTGAGATCGACGAACAGTCGTTCGTAATAACTATATAAGGGTGGTATAAATATAGAATTTTAGGTTTTAGACACAGAGATGTCATCAGATGGAAGATTTGTCACGAAAATAATGAACTTATGTAGCAGGCAAAAGTGGTATTTAATAAAGGTAAGAATATCTTGTGTGACGCATCTCAGTCATTGGAGGTAAGAACCGTTACATATTAGAACTTTCGCTTTCCCAGAGCAGAACCTCATTCTTATCACTTCAGACCCTTATCTCTTTCATTTCAGAATATGGTACTTTTATTTTAACTCACCACAAACACGGGGACCCTAAAATCCCATGGCAAGTACAATATTATAGGGGTTTTAATGTTTGAAATGAACACCGACCAACTCTAACGCTAACCCTAATTCTAACAACACTATAATATTGAACTTCCTCAGGTATTTCAGAGTTCCCCCTGTTTGAGGTGAGCTAAAATGAAAGTACCCAGAATATTTCTTTCGCCACAAATGACGACGTTCCTTTCCCGATAACCGGGCCTTCCCTTCCCAATAACAAAATCTCTCTTTCTCCGTACCAGAACTTTCTGTTACCATATCATATTTCTCCTTTCCCAACATAAAAACATCCAGTTCTTAATGTTTTATTCGCCCCAAACGGGGAATCCCGGAGTTCCTCGGAAGTCTAATAGTATAGGGGTGTTAGGGTGAAGGTTAGCGGTGTTCATTTCAAAACGCCCGTAATGCCCCTATAATATTGGACTTTCCGGGGAACTCCAGGAGCCCCCGTGTTTGGTGTGCATAAAATATAAAATAATTAAATCGAACATCCCATTCCTCATATCGAAACTTTCCTTTCTTTGTATCTTCCTGTACCCCATTACCCGCAATCTTTAGTTAGACCCCCCCCCCCCAATCCCGTCCCCTTTCCCCCGTAAGATTATAAGGCGGCTGATTACAGCCAGGTATATATGTTCTCTTTGAAGTTTTTGTTTCTACATGCTATTTCAAACACAGCACTGCATTTATTTTCCATTTAGCACATTATTATTTTATTATCATCATTCAGAGCTTGAGGAAGAAAATAGGGGCTTTTGAACTGAAATGCTATAGAATGATTATCAGAATACCGTGGACAAAGAGTAAAATAAATAACGACATTCCTAAAGGTCTAAGCAACGAGGAAGATTGGCTAAATAAAACTGCATTTTGTCTGGAAGCTGAAATATTTTGGCTTTATCAAGCTCCAGGGTGGATCGGAAGAACAGCAGAATTGACAAGCACAGCGATGAGCGCAGGATGTAGGCGACTCCTTGGGTATAACAGTACAGGAGGCGGGAGAACTGGCAAGGGAGCGGGCAAAATTTGGAGTTTAAAATCTACCCAAAGTATTTCAGGATCCTCGCCGGTGCAACGGAGTTCGTGCAGTGCGCTGAGATTTCTTAGACTCGGAGTCAGAAGTAGAACAGGGCACTTATGGGTTATACCCGTGTGCCATGATGTTGATCCGTTAAAAAAAAAAAGAACCTTATATACGATTGTTGTTGTTGTTGTTATTATTATTATTATTATTATAAGAACTTAAACACGGCTTGGTTTTATTGGGTTTTATTGAACAACTCCCGCTCCCCTTTCCGCTTTACAATAAGAGTATAAATTAGTTGAGCTTCCCCCCCCCCCCCCCCCCCCCCCCCATGTTGTATTGGCGACGGGACCACTGTTTCATGATGTACTGAGGCACTGAGTTGTGTTGAGTTGATTCAAGAATGCACTCAGTGCATTCCCATAAGCGCTCTGTCCCCATCTTTAGCAGCCAGTGAAGAATTCCGATACTAATGGTGCCAGTAGCATTCTGATTAAACGTCCGTCTTGCATTTTCTCTGAGCCTCGAGCATCTGCCAGAACCCCTCGTCACTCCCCCTTGCATAAATCTCACCAGACTGTGGTGATCCATCTGCACCTCCGAACTGCATACGCTCTCCCACAAGGCACTAATCACGTCTGCCTTATCATGCATCTGTATTTCACCAAGTTATGGAGAGCCAGCCAGCCTGTCCGCCTGTTCATTTCCCAACACACTGGCGTGCCCCGGTGAAAAAAATTCAGACAATGCTTCTCACCCGTGTCCTACGCAGTGAAGCATGCCGCTCTGCACGAAGCATACCTGTCCTGACCTTCCTCAGCATGCTTTGTGAGTCAGTTACAGTTACTGTGTGTGTGTGTGTGTCGTGTTCTCTAACTAGCAAAAAGCCACAGTGACCGTCTCCACCTCCATTCTTAAACTGGATGTTGTGGTATCATATGCTAGGCTCTCGTGCACCAAACGTGGACCATTAACTTTTGTTAAGAAGCCCCAAGCACTTCTGTTGCCTTTTGACATTGAACCGTTTGTGGAAATAATCAAATCCTCTGAGCGAGCATTATCTTGAATTAATTAACCTTGAGGCTTTGAGATGACATAATGTCTTTCCCTCGCAAAGGAAGTCTAGCTACCTGTAGCCCAAAAAAATTATAAATACTTTTTTTTATAGTGGGAATACCAGGGCCCATTTACAACAGACATGTTTGGCTGGACCGGCGCCACTTGGGAATTTACAGCAACAAGGCAGAGGCGATTTTTCATCTGCGGAGGAGCGGAAGACGAGTAGTTAACCAGATGACAACGGGTACTACCAGTAAGGAGACTCTTAGATGGCTGTCAGGAGGGAGACATGGCTAATATAGGCTTGTCCTGAAGTATGCGATGTCGAATCAAGATTACCCAGATTTACAAGTGACATTTCAGACACTGAGTGCATTGAAGACTAGGGAGAATCGGCAGCAATACAAGTTTACAATTTCTACGCAATGACAGTATTAGAAAAAGTGTCAAAAATACTTAGAGCATGCACTGTATTAACTTCACGCCCCAGAGAACAAATATTTCTTTGATAAAACCCCGACTTGCACACAAAATGAACTGACAAATGCACGGAAGAAGCTTTTATCTTTTGATCTTTGCCGTCAAGCCGTTAGAGTCACCTAAGTGCTAGTTAACACATCTTCCATGCTTGATTTCCACCCACAAATTGTGTCAGGTATTGCTCACAAGTTATTTGCATATGCTTTTCGGGATATCGCCAACCGAACCGCAACTTTTGTTGACTGCTTGTCATTCATTCTACTAGGCAAATGTAAACTCATCATACACAATATTACCTGTACTGGGTGTGGCAGGCAAAAAAGGGGAAATAATAAAACAATAACCCGCACATTTACATTCCGGGAATTTGACCCGTGTCAGTTCTGATCCTGATTATGGCCAGAGTAAGTTCTGGTACAGATTTTGGCCAGTGTAAGTTCTGGTACAGATTTTGGCCAGTGAAAATTCTGGTGCATATTTTGGCTTTCGTAAGTTCTGGTCTAGATTTTGGTCAGTGTAAGTTCTGTCCAGATTTTGGCCAGTGTACATTCTGGTACATATTTTTACCCGTGTCATTTCTAGTCCATTCTAGATTTTGACCTGTATAAGTTCTGGTCCAAATTTTGGCCACATATCAGCTCTAGTCTAGATTTTGACAAGTGTAAGTTCTAGTTCAGATTCTGGCCAATGGAAGTTCTGATCCAGATTTTAACCTATTAAATATTCAAGATTTTAGCCAGTGTAAATTATGGTTCTGACTTTGACCAGTGTACGTTATAATCCAATTTTTAGCCGTTAGAAGGTCGGGTCCAGATTTTGGCCAATGAATGTTCAAATCTGGATTTCGACCAGTGAAAGTTCTGGTCCAGATTTTAGCCAAATTATGTTCTAGTCCAGATAATGAGAAAACAATTTAATTTACTTGAAAATAAACAGAAATTGAGAAATAGATTAATAAGGTTGTCTCCTTAGTAAATCACGCAGCGTGTAGAGGCTGACAACACCTGTTCTGTTTTTTTTTTTTTTTTTTAATTCTACGTTGGCTTGATGAATAATGCTCTTGTTTGGTCACATCCCTTTGAATTTTATGATTTTGAGGGAGGTCTGGTCATGGTTGCAGATTTGAAGTCACTTTTTTATTTTTCTTTAATATTTTTTTTTTAAATTTTAACAATGTTTATTATGTTGAATCTCTGACTGCCATTAAAAGAAGAAACCCAGAATTTTGCCTCCAAGTGTTTCATTCGGGCCTCCTCGTGGTCCATAATGCCACCAGATGTGGTCATCACAATGAAACCAAACTGCCTTGAAGGCAGAAGGTTGTTTGTCCACTTCTCCAAGTCCCTGATAGACACGTGAAATCTAGGGCTGACCACACCACACTTTTTTAATCTGCCTGTCAGATGAACAACAATCTTGCCAGCTCTGTGATCGTCAATCTGTTCAAACTCCCTAATGTACCCATGCTTCATCATGACAGTGAGAAATTTGACGATGACCTTTGACGCTGGCCTTAGCAAGACCTGGCGTTTGCCACGCTTTTCAGCCTTGGAGATAGAATTGAGAGCATCGGCTAACACGTTCATGCGCACCATCTTGGCAACCTTCTCGGTGACGGCTTCGGGTGAAAAAAGATTTGAAGTCACTTGGTTCTCGCTAACGTCTTACTTCTCGTAACGCATTCAGTATACCATTTTAGCCCATGGCTCTTCTGTCCTTCACAGTAGCCTTACCAGCAAGCAAATCAGCCTGTTCATTTCCGTGCATGCCTGCTACCCTGGCATGAACGTGGAGCTGGTTTTTGTCTCTGAGGCGGTCGGGGCTGATAAAGAAAATAGAAAAACTGATATTCTTGATCGCTAGTGTCTGCTAGAGATAAGGTAAAGAGAAGTGGAGAATATAATCACCAATGTTTGCCCCAGTTACGCACAGTGAGACATAGAATAAGATGGAATAAAGACATCACCGACAACCTAAGACTTTACAACATCACAACTTACCAAGCAAACAGGGGTTGCGCTAACTCAGTGTATATCATCTGCTAAATTGCGGCACAAAGCAGATATTGACAAAAGCCTTTTTTTTTTTAAAGATGTATCTTAATGCGATCTGAATTGTTGTTTGAAATCTTTGTTTCAGAACTTCATTAAAGTGAAGCGTCTTTTCGAGGGCACGCCATGTTGGACTGCTTATTTCCGCCCAGACGGAGACGACCAGCCCGTTAGGGGGCAGTACCTCCAACGTATGGCTGAAATGAGACTGGCTACAGGCCAATGACGCTACGACCAGCAACGATAGGAAGACCAACCGAGGGATGTGAATACTAACTAGTGCCTATTTGTCGGGAGTCCTAGCAGTTTAAAACTGAACCATAACTGATGCAGAAAAAATGTCGGTCCTACTCACGTTTCCTGGTCCATCTACACACTGGCTGACCTTTCATTCATGCTTTCCCAGACTGTTCTTCGTCAGAGGGATGTAACGTTGTCTTGCCTCCAATTTCATCAGCGCCGATGTTGCGTTTTCTATATTACATGACGACACATCTTTTAACGACCCTTGAACATTTAGAACTGGCCCTAACCTAAACCTCCGCCTTCCCCTTTACACAGTCTGAACCTAGGTCTCACAAGAGACTTTTTTTTCGAAGAAAACAGTACAACGTGACACCTCTCTGACCTAGTCCGACTGAGAAAGTGTGTAGATGGACAGGAAAACGTAAATTGGACCAATATTTTTGAAAATCAACATGCTTGTATGACGTCCATAGGCGATGTCCTATAGATTTTCCCGGTGATTACAAATGTATTCTTTCTCATTCTTCTTCTTATAAAACGCGTTAGCTAGAAGGGTTTTGATGCCCCAGTTTTTGGTGGAGGAGGGCAAGTAATAGTCAACTAGTCGTCTAAAATTGCAATAAAAGGCGACCAATTAGAGGCTGTGCTGAAATCGGATGTGCAGATAGCCGAAAGGCACAGACATTGGAGCTTTGTGTAAGCTTCAACATGGCGTGCCAAACGTATTTTAAGTAGAAGAAAAAAGTCTGAAGCTGCAGCTAACGCTTAGCAGTCATGTGCTCAGACAATGTTGCTGCTTGGAATGTTGCTAGAGCCACCAAGAGTTGAGCTCGCCTCTTGCACACCAAGAACCCGGGTCCAATTTTGATTGCCTAACTGATTACGTGATAACACAACTTCCGGTGATACTGCAACTTTTCTTCCTCCCCTTACCCACTGTTTACACGTATTCTTCCATTTTTTTTGGTAATGGTTGATGGTTATAAAGTCGTCTCTTGACACTTATTTTACAAGACTTGCATTTATAATAAATATATTCTTATGTCAGGCATTTTGCGTGTTTTTTTTATATTTTTTTATTTTATTTTAAATTCAAATTTATAAATTTATGGTATAAAGTGCGTGTGTGTATGCATGTGTCTTTGTATGAGTCTGTATTTACATCTTGTTGAGAAATTTTGTTTACACATTTTATGTAATGGCTGTTGGGAGCTGATTTTTTCTCATAGTGAGCAATGTTATAATTTTTTTTTCTACAAAAAATAAAAATGGTAATAATAATGAAGTGCCGGTGCTCACCATAAAATGTCTAAACAAAGGTGGCGTACTCGCCACAAAGTATCACTATTAAAACAGCACTAAGAGAAGGCATTGTACACACACACACACACACACACACACACACACACACACACACACACACAAACACACATATACATACATAAAAGCTTCTGGTACTGCGAAGGTTTGCTTACCACATGGAAGAAAAGCACAAGTTAGAGCTGTGTTGTTTGAGCAGTGTAGATACCACTGGGAAGAAAAGCACAAGTTAGAGCTGTGTTGTTTGTGCAGTGTAGATACCACATGGAAGAAAAGCACAAGCTAGAGCTGTGTTGTTTGTGCAGTGTAGATACCACATGGAAGAAAAGCACAAGCTAGAGCTGTGTTGTTTGAGCAGTGTAGATACCACTGGGAAGAAAAGCACAAGTTAGAGCTGTGTTGTTTGTGCAGTGTAGATACCACTGGGAAGAAAAGCACAAGTTAGAGCTATGTTGTTTGTGCAGTGTAGATACCACATGGAAGAAAAGCACAAGTTAGAGCTGTGTTGTTTGTGCAGTGTAGATACCACATGGAAGAAAAGCACAAGTTAGAGCTGTGTTGTTTGTGCAGTGTAGATACCACTGGGAAGAAAAGCACATGTTAGAGCTGTGTTGTTTGTGCAGTGTAGATACCACTGGGAAGAAAAGCACAAGTTAGAGCTGTGTTGTTTGTGCAGTGTAGATACCACATGGAAGAAAAGCACAAGTTAGAGCTGTGTTGTTTGTGCAGTGTAGATACCACTGGGAAGAAAAGCACATGTTAGAGCTGTGTTGTTTGTGCAGTGTAGATACCACTGGGAAGAAAAGCACATGTTAGAGCTGTGTTGTTTGTGCAGTGTAGATACCACTGGGAAGAAAAGCACATGTTAGAGCTGTGTTGTTTGTGCAGTGTAGATACCACTGGGAAGAAAAGCACAAGTTAGAGCTGTGTTGTTTGTGCAGTGTAGATACCACATGGAAGAAAAGCACAAGTTAGAGCTGTGTTGTTTGTGCAGTGTAGATACCACATGGAAGAAAAGCACAAGTTAGAGCTGTGTTGTTTGTGCAGTGTAGATACCACATGGAAGAAAAGCACAAGTTAGAGCTGTGTTGTTTGTGCAGTGTAGATACCACATGGAAGAAAAGCACAAGTTAGAGCTGTGTTGTTTGTGCAGTGTAGATACCACTGGGAAGAAAAGCACATGTTAGAGCTGTGTTGTTTGAGCAGTGTAGATACCACTGGGAAGAAAAGCACAAGTTAGAGCTGTGTTGTTTGTGCAGTGTAGATACCACATGGAAGAAAAGCACAAGCTAGAGCTGTGTTGTTTGTGCAGTGTAGATACCACTGGGAAGAAAAGCACATGTTAGAGCTGTGTAGATACCACTGGGAAGAAAAGCACAAGTTAGAGCTGTGTTGTTTGTGCAGTGTAGATACCACTGGGAAGAAAAGCACATGTTAGAGCTGTGTTGTTTGTGCAGTGTAGATACCACTGGGAAGAAAAGCACAAGTTAGAGCTGTGTTGTTTGTGCAGTGTAGATACCACATGGAAGAAAAGCACAAGTTAGAGCTGTGTTGTTTGTGCAGTGTAGATACCACATGGAAGAAAAGCACAAGTTAGAGCTGTGTTGTTTGTGCAGTGTAGACCACAATACTCTTGGTGCCTCTCCTACCCCCCCCCCCCCTCCCAGCCCTTCAACCTGTAGGAAATGTTCTCTTTTAGCTATTTTAACACATTTTATATGATTTCAAATGTTATATTTTCGCCATTCGGCACATTATACAATTAAGTTAATAATAATAATGAAAACCATAGCGCAAATAAACACATTTTAAGTTACCGAGGGCATAATGATTTTAGTAACAATTCTTTTACTGTTGTTATTATTATCAATATTATTTTTATTGTGCAAGTAATTGTGATTTGTGCCATACATTATGTTTTTTCTGTGGCTGCGCGCCTGAATCACACTTCACTAACTATCACGTCCATGATGCCCTAAATAATCCCGTGTCTACCGTCGTGCTGGTGGATGCCTGCCTCTTCTTCTAAGACTACACCTTACATTACTGTTCTTTCCAAAGTAATTCAGTTTCTGAGAAACAGTACTATCCATGAGCAAATCTTTCTTTATGTTTAGATTCCTACTACTACTACTACTACTACTACTACTACTACTACTACTACTACTACTACTACTACTACTACTACTACTACTACTACTACTACTACTACTGCTGCTGCTACTACTACTACTGCTGCTGCTGCTACTACTACTGCTGCTGCTGGTACTGCTGCTACCACTATTACTGCCACTACTACTGTTGGTATTACTGCTGCTAATATTACTTTTTCTCAAGCATATCGAGCCCTCGAGGTTAATCTGTGCCGGTTTTACCAGCCTCCATTCATTATTTTGACTGACCTTCTTTGTCCATTTGGTAGAATAGTCTCCGGGACCTCGTGGCGAAGTTGTGAAGTGTCTGTTTTGGTAACTCTAAAACTCTAAGTGTTTGTAGGTCTGTCCATAAATGATTTTAGACTTCTTAGTCTGCCTCGAAGTCTGTCCCCTGTTATCTCTGTTGTGTTCTCAGCTTTTCCCCTGCTCAGCTAAAAGATAATGCTTATTAAAGGCGTTATCCCAACTAATATTTTATAGAGAAAAATTTCCATGAGCAACTTCCTGCGTATACACCGTGTATAATGGCATTGACCTTTTAGTGCGAGCAGACGTGGGGAAGTCAGCAGCTGTCCTGGCTGAACAATTTCACTTTCAACAACTTTCTCTCGCCCACATCGCCGCTTCTCTCCTGGGATTTATTCCTGGTTGCTAGAACTAAACCTTACACAGCTCAGCTTGCAAAAATGGTCCGAGCCTGGTACATGACAGACACGAACGAAGACCAGAGAGAACCTCACATGTCCGACCCGCCTGTGTTTCTCAGTCGCCAGGAGCTAAAAGACAGAACTGGAGCTGAATATTTGCAGGTAACTCAACAAACTCTCCGAAGTTTTATACAATTTTGTTCTAGAATTTAGAATTACATACAAAATGTTTAAAGTGCATACTCAACATAGAATGCTCTACGAGAAGTAAAACGTTTGCGAGAACCAAGCGATGACGACTGAATCTGCAACAATGACCAGCAGACTGAAAGAACATGTCAAAATTGGGTGTGGACAGACAAAAGAAATATGCAGGAATCCTGAGAAGAATAAAAAACCAACACAGAACTAGCGTCCTGAGCTGCTATACGATGCGGGATTTACTAAGGAGGGGATCCGAGCATTTATGGACTGAATGATCCGAGGTGCCAGGAGGATAATCTGGGGACTAGACTAACTAACTGACTAACCTAACATAGTCAACTATTGACTGCTACTATAAACTCTCACCCTAAACCAGTGTTCTTCAAGCCATGGGCCGGGCCCACCGGTGCACTGCGGAAAAGGCCACAGGCAAAAATTTATGCCTATCATTAACCAAGTAGGATATGTAGTTTTTCGGCTATCCTCCGATTAACAGTCCTAAATTATCAAGGCGGAAAATATACCCTAACAGGGCCTCAGTCACGTGTCAATTGTGCACTTCCGACGACTTTCACCACTGCCGAGAGTATCTCCCACGGCGCTCATGCGTCGTGGATTGGGGCTAAACTATATGGCTGGGACTCACGAGCAGCAGCTACTGCATCTCCTGCAGCTTCCATTTTATTTATTTGCTCGTGAGTCCTAGCCATTCAGTTTAGCCTCGATCCACGCCACGTGAGTGGCATGGGGGATACTCGTGGAAGTCGCCGGAAGTGCGCAATTGACACGTGACTGAGGCCCTGTTAGGGTATATTTTCCGCCTCGATAATTTAGGACCGTTAATCGGAGGATAGCCAGTTTTTCTGTTCCATGACTGCAGTCTGTAGGATTAACATCACATTGATGAGAATAGAACAGGTACAAGTGATTTTCAAGATAACAAGACAGTGTTGAAAGATGTTAGCCGAATAGGAGCAGCTGGGTTACGGCCTCGGGCTCTCATGTGGGAGGCCTAGGTTCAACCCCTGATAAAGTGACAGAGTTTTTCTGTCAGAGGCAGAATTGAAACATCCTAAACTGCACAGTCCATGCTGCCAGCACTAGCGGTGTGGCCCAAAATCCTCAGGCTCACATCCCTTGTCTACACTGCTGTAAAAAGTGGTACATACAGACAGTAGCGATAGCTGAAGACTAACATTTTTTTTTTTCTGAGGTAGCCTTTTGATTAATAATGCATTCTTGGAAGGTATAAAATCATGCTCACTTCATTATCATGCTAAAGAAAAGCTGATTGAGTTGTCTTCTGGTATCAGCCTAGTATCCAGTCACACAATGCAATCACTGTCATGTGTTTTGGATATCACTCTCAAAAAAGCAGATTTGTGTCTTGAGTTATAGAGCTGTCAGATTGCTGGTCATTGTTTCGACTTCCTATTTGTGTCAAAAGACTTGCTCAGCAATAAAAACCAAAACTTTTTTCCAGCACTTCTTCTGTCAGAATTAATTCTCTATCTAGCCACCTGTTTAAGATTTCCTAACCTCTAGGCAGCAACATGTGTCACATAGCAAAAATTGTAATTTTTTTGACATGACATTTCACAAATAAACTTCCATCTACTTTTGTTTTTACTTTCTATGTTTGGTTAGCTGTCAGGTGGGCTTCGGGCAAGCTTCCCCATTTTGCTGGGCCGCTGATGTGAAAAGGTTGAGAAACACTGCCCTAGACCATGGGCATCAAAACCTGAGAGCTCAGATCTCCTGAAAACCCCCTCCCTCTTCCCCCAGTGTTGGGGGGGGGGGGGGGAGGGGCTGTTTTTAAGGAAATCAAGAGAACCCCTCTAACTGTGTATAAATATTGGCTATCTTCCGAATAACGGTCCCAAATTATCGAGGCCGAAAATATACCATAACAGTTCCTCAGTCACATGTCACTTCTGTCGACTACCGCCACCACCAAGAGTAACTCCCACGCCTCTACGCACGGCGTGGATTGGGGCTAAACTAGATGGCTGGGACTCATGAGCAGCAAATAAAATGAAGGAAGCTGCAAGTGATGCGGTAGCTGCTGCTCGTGAGTCCCAGCGATCTAGTTTAGCCCCAACCCACGCCGCGCGTTGCACCGTGGGAGATACTCTCGGCGGTGGCATTAGTCCTCGGAAGTGCGCAATTTAAGTCGCTGGAAGTCCGCAGTTGACACGTGACTGAGGCCCTGTTAGGGTATATTTTCGGCCTCAATAATTTGGAACCATTATTCGGAAGATTGCCTAAATATTTTCTTGAAAAGTAATTGATTATATAGATTTTGTATTATTTTCGAAAATTATATTCGTTTGCCATCGTAATATAGATTTCTTGTTATCTTTACCTACATCCCAGCCCCTCGGTACTACCTATGCATACTCCATCCAGTGCTGCAGCAGCCATCTTGGTGTCTCCATGCCCATTATACCCAGGAGGTGTTGACTGCAGTTGGGTGCAACTGGTTTCTTGATGCTGATCTTCATTACCCATTTCCAACAGATGGTTCATTGTCTCTATGACTTCTGTGTCTCAGCGGCTGTGGACTGAAACTCAGTGTATTCTGTATCCCTGCCATGTTCATACTTCTTCTGCCACCAGCGACTGCATACATGGCCAGTGTGTTGGTTCTTTCATTTCCTTTCACCCTGGCTTGTCCCGGTGTTCACAGCCAAGATAGTTTCATGAAACTGGACTAAAAGATGCTGTCAGCCCATTCTAGCTGAAGTTTTTCACGTTGGGGTTTTTAAGTTTTGAGTCTGTGACCAACAGTGCGTGACTTGCTTTCTGTTCCGCTAGCCATGCAAGTGCCCCAGGGACAACTGCTATCGCCATCGTCATTCTAGAAGTAGCTGAACTGAAATGCTTGACTTTCATCATTTACTGGTATTTCATTCATCACTGCCCACAAATCGCTGAGCCATCTGTTAAGATTCTTTCTCTTCTCCTCTTTCTTCCTCTTCTGCTTCTCCTTTCGGCTGCATCAGATTTCATCTCAGTAGCACATCCCTTGTTGCATGGGTGATGCGATCAACATCAAGCCGGCCACTGTACATTTCTTGGTACCCACCTTAGTCTGGGTCGACCTGGGTGCAAACAAATCCATCTCGATGTGGCCTCTAAATTTGTAAAATGCATAGTAAGACATGCCGTTTCTGTACGCTCATACGCCATAACGTGATGTCTAAAAATAAAAACACATCTGTGTTGTAAGTATATAAACTCTTTAATTTATTTTGGTAAAATAAAATGGTCTCTTGATCATGTGATGAAGAACTGTTATCATACTTATAAAACAGCCTTATGCCGGGGGTGGAATTTGGGAGACATTTATAAATGAATACTTCTTTTTTTTGTTTTGCCTTCATTCTTAAAAGGGTGGTTGGAACATTTGTTGTGGTTTACAGCTAGGCTGCGGTATCTACACTTTTTGGCTAAATGCATCTGATTTCAGCAAACTCCTCATTAGTCCCCTTGTATAACATGTTTGCTAGGAGTAGTTGCCCCTCCCTCACCCCCTTTTTCCTCAAGATGGGACTGGAACCCACACAGGATGCATTAACCACTAGCTAGTGGGGTGAGGAAAATTAACCCATATACATGTGTGTGGCATTTTCCTGGTTTATAATTATGCTGACTGTTGACAAATAATTTATTTGAAGCCTTGAATTCAATGTGAAACTGCTACTCCTGTTGACATTACCAGGCTGAGTATTTTCCTCGTTGACATGCGGTACTACCACAGTTACGGGTGTTTTAGAAGCTGTTTTTTTTCTCTCTCTACCAGTTTGATGCCGACAGCTGGGAGACAGATGAAGGCTATGCTGAGCTAAAGAAGCAGAGAGGCTACACGTATGAAGATCTCTGCGAGATATCTCGGGAGACTTTACCTAACTATGATGAAAGGGTATGTGCTTTATTAGTGATAATGTTCAAAACTTTTTCAACAGATATCATCATCATGTGCCATGACAGGTGGTATGTCAGTCATATTCCTTCTCATATTTCTTCTGAGTTTGCAGTTGGCATGTCATGTTGTGGCTTACAGCTGGGGTACGACATCTGTGCCTTTTAGTCCAACACATTTAATTGCACTATTTTAACCCCCAATTAGGGCCCTGTAACATCTCTCTTCTGACTTGATAATGAATTCAGTGAGCTGCTGACCATTTTATAAACCCATCCATCATTTTACTCCTCTGTTAATTTAAGTCTCTGATTATCCTAAATATCCCGGTTGTTCTACCTTTTTTTGTCCAGACTTTCTTGTCTTGTAATCGCGATTAAGGGGCAGTCAATGTTGTCTTTTTTTTCCAACCCAAATTAGGACTTAGAACCCACCTGAACTCGCACACCTATCATCTGACTTGTTGATGAATTCAGCTGGTGACTGTTTTGTAAAGCCATCCATCATTTTATTCCTCTGTTAATTTCTGTCTCTAATACTTTTAGATTTCCCTGTTATAATTTGTATTATGCGTATGCTTGAAAGGCAGGGAACCAACAGTCTGCATATAGATAAACCAGGTCTCTGAAATGCATGCAAAACTCAAGTTCTAGAAGAAGATTAAAGGCCAGAAATGGACAAACAACCAGAACTTTTTACTGGAGTATACAGCAGTTGAACACGAAGAAGAAGAAGAAAAAGTGTCTTGTCTTATAATAAGACCAAAAGACATAACAGTGCAAAACATTTATGTTAAGGAATAAAAACACTTAAGATTCTCTAAACATACAAACTTTGTTGAAAAGGAGGTTAATTATATTGTTACTTCTTTGCTACAGCTGAAAACCTTCTTCACTGAGCACATTCATTCTGATGAAGAGATTCGCTTCGTTATCGAGGGCAGCGGATATTTTGACCTCCGCGACATTGACGATAAATGGGTGCGCATTGAGGTCACCAAGAATGACCTGCTGATTGTTCCCGCAGGCATCTACCACAGATTTACTCTCGACAGAAATGTAAGTTACAGGATGTGAGGGTTGTTGTGTCCCTTGACTGTTTCTGTAAAATAATTGTAGTGAAATAGCAGACAGACTGACCAGAAGTAGTAGTGACATAATACATTCAGAATGTGACTAAACCCACTAATAGAGTAAAACATTAATTAAAAATACTAGTATCCAGCAAATATGGCAGAATACACAGAAAATTCTCTCCCCTAGACTCGCTTCAACACCTCTCTAGAGAGGGTCAGTGTCTTAATAATATTCAGACCAAGGACAGGGCAGAACAGATTTTGCCAACATATGTTCAATTTTTTCGATGTAGGCAACACCGTCATGTGTCATTGCTTATGTTGAAGGCTTCAGGTGATAGCTAAAATTAGTCTGACCATGAAAATCGTGGCAGTAACTAAAGCCAGTAACCCGTCTGAATATACATACCTTGACTCGAGCATGTTTTCCCAGTGACTCCGTGAGAGTGCTCAGGAAAACAGAGATGGACTGGGTCCCGAAGACTCACAGAAAGAAAATCTGCAGTCAGATGTGAAAGCCTGTACCATTTTCAAGGAACAGGATGAGAATAATAAACTTTTATTGAACCGTTCAGTTGTAGATTTCCCTGGTTACATTGTTTTGCATTGTTTCAGTCATATAAATTGTTTAAAATAGGCTCAGTCACAAGCAAATTGATTAACATAGATTTAGTCAAAAAATGTTTTTCATAGATTCAGTCATAAATTGCTTTACATAGATTCAGTCATAGATTGTTTTAATACAAATTCAGTATTCAAAAAGTGTTTAACATAGGCTCAGTCACACCACAATTGTTTAACATAGATTTGGTCATAAACTTCAACATAGCTTCAGTCATGTGAATTGTTTAACATACATTCAGTCATACTACATTGTGCAAATCATGCAAATTATGTAACATTTATGAAAGAAAAATTCATTTATGTAAATCATGCAAGACATGCACCTTTACGAATTACAAAGGAAAGAATCAACGACATAAAAGTTTGTAAACTAAATTGTGCAGAAAACAATGACATTGTTATCTACCTTTGCGTCTTTGTTTTTGTTTTTTGCAGAACTACATCAAAGTCAAGCGCTTGTTTGTGGGAGAGCCGGTCTGGACCCCTATCAATCGACCAGGAGCAGATGAACATCCGGCACGGAAAGATTATCTCCAGACTATGACTAGTGTTGAAAGTTAAAAGTGGGTCACAGAGTTTTGTGTGTCGGCAGAGACGTACTCTGTGATGGGATTATAACTGTCTCTGTTTGGTTAACTGTAAATGAAAATTTTTATTTAGATGAATATATTTTTTTAAAATTAGAAACACAGGTGCAGGCCAAACTTTATGTGTTGTTGAGTGAATTACAAAATACAGTGAAGTTCATACTAGAGACAATATTGCAGATATAGGTAATTTGTTTCTAGCAGACGAAAGCTGAAGAGGAATATTTTTATTGATTGCATATGTGGAAAAACAGTGGCCTGCTCAGTTGCTATAAAAGTGACAAAGTATTGGCAAGGCGTTCGCAAGTTCACTCGTCTCCAGCTGTCTTTCTTACAGCCCACAGTGAACGCGCACAAATGTGTGTTTTCTTTGCAGGCTACAGAATATTCTTTTTCTTCTTCTTTGCATTCACCTGCTGTAAACTCTTATAGAAAGTTCTTGTTGTTCATCCACTTCTGGATTTTTTCCAGAACAGAAGTTTTGTGTTCACATCTGTTTCATAGATCTGGCTTATTTGTATGCAGACTGGGTTCCTCGCTTCTCAGACAGATTTACTCTAACTTCGAAGGAAACATCTCTAATTAGTTGACTCTTAAGACATGCAGGTTTTTTTGGGGGGGAGGGGGAGGTCTATTAATTTTTTTGCTTTCTCACGATGGAGCACTGAAACCCTTACAGGAAGGCTGCTGAAGATGAGAACAGAGTGTTCATGGGAATGTCCCAAGAACTGTGGCTATCAACTCAATGCAACTCATATTGAGTGCAGACACTTCAAAGACAGAACAATAGAAATATTCTAGAAATCTGGTCAACGTTTGTTTTTCCGTGGTAATTGAATTTGTCTACATTTTTCTGTACATTTAGATTTTAATAGTTATCCTTCTTTCGTATGTTATCAGATTCTTATTTTCACTCTTTCTGAATCCGGATCAAAGTTTCATAGAAGATGCCAGTGAAGAAAAATCCATGATAAACATTAATCAGTGCATTACTTTCAGAGCAGTAATATAACAGTAATGGTAGCCATTCAACATGCCAGATTTCTTGAGTGGGATGTGACCAAATTTTAAAAACAGTAGGAGAGCATGTAAGCTAAGGAGAAGATTAAGCAGAGAGTGTTTTGACACATCAAACACTATTTGGGACTCAAAGGGTTAAGGAAAAGATGTAATACTTCTGGAGAAATCATACTCAGTTCCTGTAGTGACTATAGCTGAGAGTTAATGTTTGGCTGTATCTAACTATTTATTCTAGGTCATCTGTTGTGTTCACCACTTCAGTATTATAATTCAACAATAATCAGAACTTTTACACTTTAGGGCAGTTTTGAAATCATTTTGTTTTGTTGACTTTTTAATTTTATTTTCCCCTAACTATTTGATTACATTTGGTTTGTAAATATCTTTTTCTTTGGTTTTGTCCTAGTGGCGTAAATGCGTTGTGCCTGTTAACAGCAGAGCTGCCATATTTGCATCATTCTGCTGACACCTCCGATTTCTTCGAGCATTTGTTGACTGGGTTAACTTCTTGGGATCGTATATATGAGAACATACATTTCATTTAACAAGTGATGGTTAACAATAAGACACACAGATAAAAAGTCTTTTATGAAAGACACGCAGATATAATTTCTTTGTTGAAAGACACAGAGATATAATTTCTTTATTGAAAGACACACAGATAGAATTTCTTTCTTGACTTATTTGGTAGTAGTTTTTTAATATTTTTATTTCTGACAATGTTCCTAAATGGGCGGCTGGAACATTGTTTTGTGGTTTGCAGCTAGGCTGCAACATCTATGCTTTTTGGCCCAGCATATCTGATGTTAGTCACTTTTAATTAGTCACCTATTCTTGGGTGCAGATGCGCTTCATAATGCCATAGTGTTGGAAAAATGATGCCTTTAAAAAATATGTTTTTTTTAAAGTAGGTGACTGTACTGTTTACTTTGCACGTGGCTAAAAAAAAATCCTTAGCTACAGTTATTATGTGCCTTACAATTGACGGCCAGTATTTTTTGTATTTTATGCATTTTTTGCCATTTGCATGAAACTTTGCCACTGTACTTGATTGTGTTATTCTATATTTGATGGTGTATAAATATTTGTGCAAAGGATAGGGTATACAAGTGAGGATGTAGATATGAAAGTGAATCCAGAAGACATGTGGGCGTCACTAGGGGTGAACTCGCATGAAATATGTCTTCTTTGTCCCACATCTCTTCTTGTCTGTACGTGCCCACATAATAAAGTGCTCTTGTCCTCTCCTTCTTCACTGTCATCATCTTCTGTGTTTGTCCTTAAAAGGAGAGTTTGCAGGTTTTCAGCTAGACTGCGATATTTGTGCATTTCGGCCCCAACAGAAATCCATAATTAGTCACTTTTAATGACATTGGTGTTAGGTAGAGCAGTGGGTCTATTCTTCCGCCATCGTCCAAATGGGGTCCCGGAACCCACACAGGGGGTTCTTGTGTATGACATGTTCTCTTGTACCCAGTGCTATACTGTTATGTCACCGCCAATCAGTATTCATCACTATATTTAATCTATGACTGGTGACCTCATAGATCTTTGTTCATTCACTGTAAATTTACAGAGTTGTGTTGATTCAAAAACAGACATCACAGCACTCAGGGCATTCCCCTAAGCACTCAATCCCTATCTTCAGCAGCCAGCGTTGAGTTCCAATACCAATGGTGCCAGTAGCATTCTGATTGTATGTCTGTTTTGACTTTCCTCTGAGCATGGAGTAGTGAATGTACAATCATTTGTCATCTAAAATACAACCCTACCCACATATAACTGCTGATTACACCTGGCTGGAGTAGCCGTTATGGGAGGCCCTAATGATAAATTCTTTGTGTGTTGAACAGGGTATCTGGGATTTGCCTTGTTGGCCTGCCGCTCAGATTGAGATTTCTATATTTCAGGATGGTATGGTGAACCTTTTGGTAGCAGCCCAGAGGGGACAAAGTGATCTGAAATATGGTGTCACTGTTGAACCTTTTCTGATTCACAAATGTTGGTTAGTTGTTGGTGTAGTAGCAGCTGTTGGTGTTGGATAGTCCTGTCTCTTTGGTGGGATTGTCTGTGTTCTCATGTGGACACATAAGACCAGCACTGTATTGACTAACCATGCCTCGTAAACCTTATGTTCCCTGTGTGTGTTCCGGGGCCCTGTTGTATGGAAAACACAAATAGACCCACAGCCTATCCAACAGCATGTCGTAAGTGTCGACTAATTGGGAGCTTCCTTTGAAGTCAGAGTGCATCCGCCTGAGAGAGGCAAGGAACCAACAGTCTGCATACAGATGAGTCAGATCTGTAAAATTGATCCGCACGCAACACTCAGGTTCTGGAACAGGACTGCAGCCCATAAGTGGATGAACAACCAGAACTTTCCGCCAGAGTTTACAGCTGGTGAACGTGAAGAAGAATATTTATTATGTTCACAGTTGAACTTTGCATGTTTCATGGTTGAACTTTGCATGTTTCTCAGTTGAACTTTGCATGTTTCACAGTTGAACTGTGCATGTTTTACAATTCAACTATGCATGTTTCACAGTTAAACTTTGCATATTTCACAGTTGAACTTTGCATATTTCACAGTTGAACTTTGCATATTTCACAGTTGAACTATGCATGTTTCACAGTTGAACTATGCATATTTTATGGTTGAACTTTGCATGTTTTACAGTTGAACTATGCATGTTTCATGGTTGAACTTTGCATGTTTCTCAGTTGAACTTTGCATGTTTCACAGTTGAACTGTCCATGTTTTACAGTTGAACTTTGCATATTTCACAGTTGAACTTTGCATGTTTCACAGTTGAACTGTCCGTGTTTTACAATTGAACTATGCATGTTTCACAGTTGAACTATGCATGTTTCATGGTTGAACTATGCATGTTTCATGGTTGAACTTTGCATGTTTCATGGTTGAACTTTGCATGTTTCACAGTTGAACTGTCCGTGTTTTACAATTGAACTATGCATGTTTCACAGTTAAACTCTGGGTGTTTTATGGTTAAACATGCTTGTTTCACAGTTAAACTGTGCGTGTTTCACTGCTGAACTGTATATAGTACATTATGTTTTTTACAATAGCTGGTGGTGTTTTTTTTCTCTCTCGACTACATGTATTTTTGATAACCGCATCTATTTTGGAAAAATAGATATATGCAGAACTGTATTATATGAATGAGTTTGTTGTATGTGTGTTGGAAACGACTTAATTCTATCTGTCATTCATTCCTAATTTTGTTTTTTTTTCTTGTCTGCGTTTGAGTGTAGAGGTACTTTTGTGTCCAATTTAATCATCTCTTCTGCTGTGGCATTTGTGGACATCAGTGTGCCTTTCTGTCCTCCCTGAACATATCTTAGGTATAGAGGGTAGTAAAGGACCTTTTTTCCATACCTTTAGGGCATACGGGGTTAGACCTTTATTTTATAGACTAGTTAGCACTCAGTGGGTGATGTGGTCAGCATCATGTCGGCCACCTTTACTTTCCAGGACTTTACCTGGTACCCATTTAAGGCTGGGTCGACAGGGCAACCAAGGGTCATTTAAGAAAAGAATTCCAGCTCGGTTCTGATTTGTGGCCCCCAATCTTGGGTACAGAGGCACCTGCAAGTTTTGTTTAGTTTTTCGGCTTCCACTCTAAAAGTTTTAACTGTGGAGAACCTGTTGACATCACTCAAAAGGCACAAGGAATAAATTAACAGGTTCCGCATGGGTTCTGGGGCCCCATATTGAGGGGTGGGGGGGGGGGGAGACAAGTATGTCATTTAAAATACAATTACTAATAAAGGTGTGCAAAAATATATACTAGACGCTCACCTGTGGATCAGAAGGTCGTGAGTTCGGGTCCTGAAGAAGCTAGATTTAAAAAAAAAAAACGACCCAGCCTTAAGTGGTTACCAGGTATAGTCCTGGGAAGTAAAGGCAGCTGGCGTGATATTGACCACATCACT